CACACACACTGCCCAACATCATGGTACACACACACTGCCCAACACCATGGTACACACACACTGCCCAACACTATGGTACACACACACACACTGCCCAACATCATGGTACACACACACTGTCCAACATTATGGTACACACACACGCTGCCCAACATTATGGTACACACACACGCTGCCCAACATTATGGTACACACACACGCTGCCCAACATTATGGTACACACACACACTGCCCAACATTATGGTACACACACACACTGCCCAACATTATGGTACACACACACTGCCCAACATTATGGTACACACACACTGCCCAACATTATGGTACACACACACTGCCCAACATTATGGTACACACACACTGCCCAACATTATGGTACACACACACTGCCCAACATCATGGTACACACACACACTGCCCAACATCATGGTACACACACACACACACTGCCCAACATTATGGTACACACACACACACTGCCCAACATTATGGTACACACACACACACTGCCCAACATTATGGTACACACACACACACTGCCCAACATTATGGTACACACACACACTGCCCAACATCATGGTACACACACACGCTGCCCAACATCATGGTACACACACACGCTGCCCAACATTATGGTACACAGACACACACACACTGCCCAACATCATGGTACACACACACACACACACTGCCCAACATCATGGTACACACACACACACACACTGCCCAACATCATGGTAGACACACACGCTGCCCAACATCATGGTACACACACTGCCCAACATTATGGTACACACACACACACACACACTGCCCAACATCATGGTACACACACACTGCTCAACACCATGGTACACACACACTGCCCAACACCATGGTACACACACACTGCCCAACACCATGGTACACACACACACTGCCCAACATCATGGTACACACACACTGCCCAACATTATGGTACACACACACGCTGCCCAACACCATGGTACACACACACTGCCCAACATCATGGTACACACACACACTGCCCAACATTATGGTACACACACACACTGCCCAACATTATGGTACACACACACACTGCCCAACATTATGGTACACACACACACTGCCCAACATTATGGTACACACACACACTGCCCAACAGTATGGTACACACACACACTGCCCAACATTATGGTACACACACACACTGCCCAACATTATGGTACACACACACACTGCCCAACATTATGGTACACACACACACTGCCCAAACAGTATGGTACACACACACACTGCCCAACATTATGGTACACACACACTGCCCAACATTATGGTACACACACACTGCCCAACATCATGGTACACACACACACTGCCCAACATCATGGTACACACACACACACTGCCCAACATTATGGTACACACACACACACTGCCCAACATTATGGTACACACACACACACTGCCCAACATTATGGTACACACACACACACTGCCCAACATTATGGTACACACACACACTGCCCAACATCATGGTACACACACACGCTGCCCAACATCATGGTACACACACACGCTGCCCAACATTATGGTACACAGACACACACACACTGCCCAACATCATGGTACACACACACACACACACTGCCCAACATCATGGTACACACACACACACACACTGCCCAACATCATGGTACACACACACACACACACTGCCCAACATCATGGTAGACACACACGCTGCCCAACATTATGGTACACACACACACACACACACTGCCCAACATCATGGTACACACACACTGCTCAACACCATGGTACACACACACTGCCCAACACCATGGTACACACACACTGCCCAACACCATGGTACACACACACACTGCCCAACATCATGGTACACACACACTGCCCAACATTATGGTACACACACACGCTGCCCAACACCATGGTACACACACACTGCCCAACATCATGGTACACACACACACTGCCCAACATTATGGTACACACACACACTGCCCAACATTATGGTACACACACACACTGCCCAACATTATGGTACACACACACACTGCCCAACAGTATGGTACACACACACACTGCCCAACATTATGGTACACACACACACTGCCCAACATTATGGTACACACACACACTGCCCAACATTATGGTACACACACACACTGCCCAACATTATGGTACACACACACACTGCCCAACATTATGGTACACACACACACTGCCCAACAGTATGGTACACACACACACTGCCCAACATTATGGTACACACACACACTGCCCAACATTATGGTACACACACACACTGCCCAACATTATGGTACACACACACACTGCCCAACATTATGGTACACACACACACTGCCCAACAGTATGGTACACACACACACTGCCCAACATTATGGTACACACACACACTGCCCAACATTATGGTACACACACACACTGCCCAACATTATGGTACACACACACACTGCCCAACATTATGGTACACACACACACTGCCCAACAGTATGGTACACACACACACTGCCCAACATTATGGTACACACACACACTGCCCAACATTATGGTACACACACACACTGCCCAACATTATGGTACACACACACGCTGCCCAACATTATGGTACACACACACGCTGCCCAACATTATGGTACACACACACGCTGCCCAACATTATGGTACACACACACGCTGCCCAACATTATGGTACACACACACGCTGCCCAACATTATGGTACACACACACGCTGCCCAACATTATGGTACACACACACGCTGCCCAACATTATGGTACACACACACGCTGCCCAACATTATGGTACACACACACGCTGCCCAACATTATGGTACACACACACACACACTGCCCAACATTATGGTACACACACACGCTGCCCAACATTATGGTACACACACACACACACTGCCCAACATCATGGTACACACACACTGCCCAACATTATGGTACACACACACGCTGCCCAACATTATGGTACACACACACACTGCCCAACATTATGGTACACACACACACTGCCCAACATTATGGTACACACACACACTGCCCAACATTATGGTACACACACACGCTGCCCAACATTATGGTACACACACACGCTGCCCAACATTATGGTACACACACACGCTGCCCAACATTATGGTACACACACGCTGCCCAACATTATGGTACACACACACGCTGCCCAACATTATGGTACACACACACGCTGCCCAACATTATGGTACACACACACGCTGCCCAACATTATGGTACACACACACGCTGCCCAACATTATGGTACACACACACGCTGCCCAACATTATGGTACACACACACACACACTGCCCAACATTATGGTACACACACACGCTGCCCAACATTATGGTACACACACACACACACTGCCCAACATCATGGTACACACACACTGCCCAACATTATGGTACACACACACGCTGCCCAACATTATGGTACACACACACGCTGCCCAACATTATGGTACACACACACACTGCCCAACATTATGGTACACACACACACTGCCCAACATTATGGTACACACACACACTGCCCAACATTATGGTACACACACACACTGCCCAACATTATGGTACACACACACACTGCCCAACATTATGGTACACACACACACTGCCCAACATTATGGTACACACACACACTGCCCAACATTATGGTACACACACACACTGCCCAACATCATGGTACACACACACTGCCCAACATTATGGTACACACACACACACACACTGCCCAACATCATGGTACACACACACTGCCCAACATTATGGTACACACACACGCTGCCCAACATTATGGTACACACACACTCTGCCCAACATTATGGTACACACACGCTGCCCAACATTATGGTACACACACGCTGCCCAACATTATGGTACACACACACTGCCCAATATTATGGTACACACACACACACACACTGCCCAACATTATGGTACACACACACACACACTGCCCAACATTATGGTACACACACACACACTGCCCAACATTATGGTACACACACACTGCCCAACATTATGGTACACACACACTGCCCAACATTATGGTACACACACACTGCCAAACATTATGGTACACACACGCTGCCCAACATTATGGTACACACACACTGCCCAACATTATGGTACACACACACACACACACACACACTGCCCAACATTATGGTACACACACGCTGCCCAACATTATGGTACACACACACACACACTGCCCAACATTATGGTACACACACACACACACTGCCCAACATTATGGTACACACACACACACTGCCAAACATTATGGTACACACACACTGCCAAACATTATGGTACACACACACTGCCAAACATTATGGTACACACACACTGCCCAACATTATGGTACACACACACTGCCCAACACCATGGTACACACGCTGGTCTTTCTCTCTCTCTGGTCTCTCTCTCTCTCTGGTCTCTCTCTCTCTCTGGTCTCTCTCTCTCTCTGGTCTGTCTCTTTCTCTCTCTGGTCTCTCTCTCTCTCTGGTCTCTCTCTCTCTCTGGTCTCTCTCTCTCTCTGGTCTCTCTCTCTCTCTGGTCTCTTTCTCTCTCTGGTCTCTCTCTCTCTCTGGTCTCTCTCTCTCTCTGGTCTTTCTCTCTCTCTGGTCTCTCTCTCTCTCTGGTCTCTCTCTCTCTCTGGTCTCTCTCTCTCTCTGGTCTCTCTCTCTCTCTGGTCTGTCTCTTTCTCTCTCTGGTCTCTCTCTCTCTCTGGTCTCTTTCTCTCTCTGGTCTCTGATTGGTCAGAACGCTCACATATCCCTCTGGTCCTGTGGAAGTAGAACCCCCTGCACAGGACCAGCAGAACCAGAGCTGACAGAGGATTTGGGTCGTCCATGGTGCCAGCATGAGCCAATGATCTTAGAGACCTGGGCCTCTACTTCCTATACTTGTAATAACTCTAAACTATTCTCCCCGTTCTTAGAAAGCCAAGAAGAAGAAGATCGCCAGCATGAAGCCGGAGGAGCTGGGCGTGGACGTGACGTCGCGGCTGCAGGTGCTGCACGTGGAAGAACCTCCAGTGAGAGAAGCCGGACAGAAGGTGGAGACTGTGGACGACCTGATGAGGAAGCTCAGGGACACGGGGAGGATATAGACCCAAGGAGCGCACGGTGAGAACACAGACTGAATATATATATATATATATATATATATATACAAAGCTCTGTTTCACGTTTATTTGTGGCCTGAGTTTCTCTTGATCCAATATTCAGACTTTAAATCCTCTTTACAGTGTAACGGCAAAACTAAAAATCAAAGTGAAATGTCCCGCAGCCTTGACTTTGTACAAACCTCAGTTACATCAGTTTCTTTGAAGCGCGGCTCCTGGAAACAGGAACTAATCAGTCGTTATAATCAATGAATGTTTAAAATCATAGATTTTTGGTCTTTCTTCATTGTCCACAACTTTTCTCACAAGTTTAACATGTAGCTGCAGGAGGAGAGCAGACCATGGTCTCTCTCTCCTGGTCTCTCTCTCCTGGTCTCTCTCTCTGGTCTCTCTCTCCTGGTCTCTCTCTGGTCTCTCTTCCTCAGACCCAGGAGTAACTGGTTTGTGTTTTCAGAGCCTGTTTCCAGAGAAGAGAGAGTCCTGAGAAACTCTGTGTCCAGCCTGTGGCTAAAGTATGAAATGAATGAATTGTATTAGATGAGAATTGACTTAGACCTGGAGTCTCCACGAGCTGCACAAAGGCCCTGGGAGCTGTCCCTTTGAGCTGTGTACCTGTGGTCATTCATGAGCAAAGGTACTTTCTCTGTGCAGGACTTCCTGTAAATACAAACCTAATGTCTCTCACAAAGAACAGGGACTTTGTTTGACCATAAGCGCCTCTAATCTCATTGATTGTACAGTAGATCCATAATGACAATAAAAACGTTTTTCACATCTATTATTGGTTTGTTGTGGTTTTTGTATTTTATAAAACTCAGAAATGTACAATGAAAATATTATGGAAGTCGGATCAATATCACTGCGATACACATTTAGCTCCACTAGGGGGCGATGACTCACCTGCGGCTGAAGTCAGAAGAATCAAAAAGTTATGCGTCATTAGGCCCGAGCCCCGAACGGGGTAAGGGCCTATTGCTTTCACAATGGTGAAAACAAATGGTGGCGGTGCGTGACGGACGCGTCAGCGCCCGTCACTCACCAAAACGTGACAGTTGCGTGCGTAAACTCAAAAGCTTTAAAATGATGTATCAGGTGCCATTGAAACCTATATTGTTTTTGCTCGAGACGTCGAAAAAAAAAATTCCTTTTTAGGCCCGAGCCCCGAACGGGGTAAGGGCCTATTGCTTTCACAATGGTGAAAACAAATGGTGGCGGTGCGTGACGGACGCGTCAGCGCCCGTCACTCACCAAAATGTGACAGTTGCGTGCGTAAACTCAAAAGCTTTAAAATGATGTATCACATGCCATTGAAACCTATATTGTTTTTGCTCGAGACGTTAACAAAAAAATTCCTTTTTTATTTATTAGGCCCGAGCCCCGAACGGGGTAAGGGCCTATTGCTTTCACAATGGTGAAAACAAATGGTGGCGGTGCGTGACGGACGCGTCAGCGCCCGTCACTCACCAAAACGTGACGGTTGCGTGCGTTAACTCAAAAGCTTTAAAATGATGTATCACGTGCCATTGAAACCTATATTGTTTTTGCTCGAGACGTCGAAAAAAAAATTCCTTTTTTATTTATTTATTAGGCCCGAGCCCCGAACGGGGTAAGGGCCTATTGCTTTCACAATGGTGAAAACAAATGGTGGCGGTGCGTGACGGACGCGTCAGCGCCCGTCACTCACCAAAATGTGACAGTTGCGTGCGTAAACTCAAAAGCTTTAAAATGATGAATCACATGCCATTGAAACCTATATTGTTTTTGCTCGAGACAAGTCACAAAAAATTCCTTTTTTATTTATTTATTTATTAGGCCCGAGCCCCGAACGGGGTAAGGGCCTATTGCTTTCACAATGGTGAAAACAAATGGTGGCGGTGCGTGACGGACGCGCCAGCGCCCGTCACTCACCAAAACGTGACAGTTGCGTGCGTAAACTCAAAAGCTTTAAAATGATGTATCACATGCCATTGAAACCTATATTGTTTTTGCTCGAGACGTAACAAAAAAAATTCCTTTTTTTATTTATTAGGCCCGAGCCCCGAACGGGGTAAGGGCCTATTGCTTTCACAATGGTGAAAACAAATGGTGGCGGTGCGTGACGGACGCGTCAGCGCCCGTCACTCACCAAAACGTGACGGTTGCGTGCGTAAACTCAAAAGCTTTAAAATGATGTATCAGGTGCCATTGAAACCTATATTGTTTTTGCTCGAGACGTTAACAAAAAAATTCCTTTTTTATTTATTAGGCCCGAGCCCCGAACGGGGTAAGGGCCTATTGCTTTCACAATGGTGAAAACAAATGGTGGCGGTGCGTGACGGACGCGTCAGCGCCCGTCACTCACCAAAACGTGACAGTTGCGTGCGTAAACTCAAAAGCTTTAAAATGATGTATCACGTGCCATTGAAACCTATATTGTTTTTGCTCGAGACGTTAAAAAAAAAATTCCTTTTTTATTAGGCCCGAGCCCCGAACGGGGTAAGGGCCTATTGCTTTCACAATGGTGAAAACAAATGGTGGCGGTGCGTGACGGACGCGTCAGCGCCCGTCACTCACCAAAACGTGACGGTTGCGTGCGTAAACTCAAAAGCTTTAAAATGATGTATCACGTGCCATTGAAACCTATATTGTTTTTGCTCGAGACGTCGAAAAAAAAATTCCTTTTTTATTTATTAGGCCCGAGCCCCGAACGGGGTAAGGGCCTATTGCTTTCACAATGGTGAAAACAAATGGTGGCGGTGCGTGACGGACGCGTCAGCGCCCGTCACTCACCAAAACGTGACAGTTGCGTGCGTAAACTCAAAAGCTTTAAAATGATGAATCACATGCCATTGAAACCTATATTGTTTTTGCTCGAGACAAGTCACAAAAAATTCCTTTTTTATTTATTTATTTATTTATTTCTTTCTTTCTTTCTTTTTTCTTCTGCACTTTGAGCCTTAATTTGACCCCCTGAATATGCATGAAAAGTTGTTAATTTTGGCCCAAAAATCAGACCTGGCGAAAAATTTGATATTTTGGTGTTTATTTTTATGGGACTCAAAAAATGACAGAACAGCGCCACCTACAACAGCCAAAATAATACCCCTATGGGACTTTTCGGAGGTCAAGTTTGTCGTAGAAACATGAGATTTGGTACACATGTTCCTCAAGTCAAGACAAGAAAAAAATATTATTATGGCCCCGCCCTCTGACAAACAGGAAGCCCATAAATTTCACTGCAAAATGGAAAAATGAACAGCAAAAGTTTTCATACATGTCGGTTGGAAAGCGACTCCTCCTCGGCCGTTTCACCGATTCGCCTCAAAATCGCTCCACATCATCTCAACACATGTACCTTCAAAATGACCTCAGGGATTTTTGATCAGTGAAACATTGTTTGAGCAGCGGAGCGGCAAAATGTGACCTTTTTTTGGCCGTTTTTGACAACATTAAATTTGCTCCCGTTTGCACAAACAAAGTCTGATTTGCACAAAACTTTAATACATTGTTCAACTCTAGGGTCTAGGTCGTTTGAAGGTGAATTAATTCAAATTGACACATTAGCGCCCCCTACAGACTATTTCAAAGTTTTAGATGGGCATTTTCAAATTTAGTTTTTTCAAAATGTTTGAAATTTTGCACATAAATCTGTTTTGCCCTCTTGATTCAAAAAGTTTCAATTGGGTCCAAGGCTTATTTTTTACCCTGTTGCCGTGGCGACGAGAAACGCTCCCCATTCATTGCAAATGTACACCTCACACAAACATCAAACCAGCCTCGGCCGTTTCACCGATTCGCCTCAAAATCGCTCCACATCATCTCAACCTTAAATATAAAAGGTAAACTTATTTTATTTCTCCAATCTTTCAGATACAACATTGTCATATTTGGAGCAATCGACGGGTTCTCCAGAAAGGTTTGTGATTTTACATTTTGTATACTGTAAATTGTGTGTGAAATGTATGCAATGATTTGTTTACAGATCATGTATTTAGAGCCAGCCACAAACAACCGATCAAGCACTGCTCTGTTGTTTTTTCAGCAGGCAGTGGAAAAAATTGATTGGCCCTCCAGGTATAATTTTGCCATACTCTATACATAATTTGTATGGATAATTTGTATAAATAATAATCTGCCCGACTTTTAATAATGTATTTGATTGTATTTGAATTATTATTGCTATTTCTGTAGGGTTCGAGGTGATGAAGGTGTGGAAAATGTGGCCGTAGCTGAAACAATGTTCCGTGTGAAAGGGACTGGAAGAGGGAGCTTCATAGCCGGAAAAAGCGTTCACAATCAACGGTATGTTTATAAACCATTATGAAAGTAATTTGCTATAATTGTGTTGTGGGAGCCAGGCCGGACAATATCTCAACACAAGTACAACCACTGAGGTAGCAACTACAGAAAGCAATACCTCAGATGAGCCAAGTCACCCAAATAGGAGCTGCTCCTTCTTGCACTGGAGGCGTCTGTCCCTGAAGGAGCTGCTTGGCTCCTCTACAGGCTAAATTAGTTAATTCACATTTTGATCACATAACTGAACAAGAATAAACAGGATCCGCTAAACTTTTGTTCACACCATCTAGGCTGACTGTGATGTATTTTTCACCACCACATAGTGCCTAAAATACAATGTTAAAGTGACTCGCCAACACTGATTACAACATGTATACTATTGTTACTACTATTACTAGTTACAGTTTTAAAAAATGTATGTAATTGAATAACAAATTACTGCTGCTGCTAAATGTAACAGAGTAACACTTTGTTACTTTTGGCAGAATATGATAAAAATAGCTAAAGTGCTGTGAAAAATTATTTTCCTCAGTCGTCCATTCTTTTGTGTTTTGTTTTGATGACAGCCACACCTTTTTCTACATCCAAGTGATGACATTTAGTGCTGCTTCTGATTTGGGGGGAGTTTTAGTTACTTTAAACAAGTGAACTGTAGGTGCAACAATTACTAGTAATTAAATTAGTTTTTGTAATGATGATTACCGTTCTTTGATCTTGCTCATTGTGGTTGTTGCTGTATTGTTTTTTTAGAATTGAACGTCTTTGGCGAGATGTTTGGACCAGTGTAACGCAACTGTACTACGATGTACTACACACTCTTGAGGAGGATGGCTTTCTTGATCTGTCGGATTCCCTGCATTTGTTTTGTGCCCTTTACGTGTTTCTGCTTAGACTGGCCAACTCACTTCATACCTTCACAGAAGCGTGGGACAATCATCCTTTGAAGTCTGAAGGAGGATTGAGCCCCAACCAATTGTGGGTTATGGGTCACATGCAGTCCACTGACCAAAATGAAGAGGATTTGCAGGTTTGTTTATTTACATTTCTGGTGTCTATTCCCCTGTGCATCATATTGATACTTTTATATATTTTGTTGATTTAAACTTATAAAATGGCCAACATAAAGTGTGACATGGTTCTACCATGGTTACTCATTTCAAACCTTGCATAATCCTGTCGCTATATTATTGACATTTTACTAAGATGTATTTTTTTACCCACAAGGACATTGAAATGTTTGGAACTGACTGGAAAACATTTGACGGTGTCACAGTTGAACCTGTTGGAGTCCAGGTCCCAGAAAATTACCATCTACTACCTTCTGTTATTATGGATGCTGTAACATCCATATTCAATCCACTTGCCCACTCTGATTGTTACGGTACAGATATATATGTATCGATGGTTCAGTACATTCAGAACTTTTCAATGAATGAATAAAACAACCTGTGAATGAAAAGGTTTTTTTTTTTTAATTCAACAACTAACCTTGAACAATATTTTTCTTATCCATAAAACAATTCAATTTGTTGCAAAGGCAAAAAAGTATGCATATGGCCCACAGGTAACAAAACAATAACTTACTTTTTAGTAACCCTGTGGCAATATGGGAGTGGTATGGTGACTATATTCATATTATGTAAAAAGATTGTCCATCCATCAAAGCTGTATTCATGACATATTTGAATTCATTCAATGTTGTCAAGTGCACCACAGGAAATGTAATGGTACGACTACATGCACTAACAGTTGGAAAGCAAATAGTATGGAAGGAGTCGCAATCATGGTGGAATCTGACTTCTCACTTGGCAGACAAGGTTTGTGTCCCTGGCCGGTGATCCACTGCATGACTCTTCCAACTGTCAACTTTTTATGGCCATCTTCAACTTCAGCCTCTACAGTACACAAAGACAATGTAAATGGTAAGATACGTACCAATGCTTATACTTACCCATGAAAACCCAGACATTACATTTTAAAGACCTGGCTGCAATGTCCCATATAAATATGTTAAACTCCCAAGTAAGAAAAAAAAAAAGTCAGAGCAGAAAGGGTATGAACTAAATGTGGAATGCAAAAATGGAGATTAAGAGTATCTACAATAGTCAAAGGAAAAGAGCTTGGGACAACAAGGGGCAGGTGCTTTTCAACACCCCTTTGCATGTATGACACCTTGTTTAATCAAGAACGAAAATACTATTTTGGTACGCTGAAGGGATTATCGCTCAGCTGGCCTGGGAACGCCTTGGGGTCCCCCCGGGCGAGCTAGAGAAAGTGTATGAGAGAGGGAAGTCTGGGCGTCTCTGCTTGGATTTCTGCCCCCGCCACCCGGGAAAGGAAGAAAATGGATGTATTATTGATAGCATTTACTTTTATTTTACCAAACTTGACACAACATTACTGTTTTAGTATGGTTCACAATACACAGTATATTAATCAACGTATACTCTACCTTGTATTTAATTGTTGAGTTACAAAACTGAATTGTCCACAATGTGTATTTTTTTTTTAATTATTACCAGCGCTTCTTATATCATTTTGTGTGATTTTGCCTAAACCAAAAAGCTTACCAAGATCATCTTGATCCTCTATGTCCTGTAGAAAATCCTGAAAGAAATTCATGATGTTTACTTCTCTGGTGTATCTAACTGAGCCCTTTTCGCTGTACTCAGGGTGACACTTCTGAATGATAAAGGCGGCATCCACCTGGAAAAAAGCCAAAACTTCCGTTCAGTACAACACCAACAATATATAAAGACATTTTTTGAAACAAAGAATACCCCATCGTCTTCTCCAGAAACAAAAAGAGGCAGACAGGCCTTTTCTAAGCTGATCTAACATGGGGATCAGCCTCATAGTGGAGTGCAGTACAACAGATCTGAAAGCAAGAATTCAGATTTAACAATTTAACATTAACTCATAACCAGAAGCGGGTAGCGCTCTTAGCTCATTTACACGCACTTGCATAACTTTAATCTTATATGTGAGTTTTACTCACTAGTTGAGTAACATTTAGTTTGATGTCACACTGCTCTTACAGTTGTTGTTACCCTTCTCACTAAAGAGTAATTTCACAAAAAACATCTAATAAAAATTACTTAAGAGCGCTAATGTGAGCGCATTTCAAGATCGAGAAATTTGACTTACTTCGTTTTTAATCTTCCTCTTTAGTAATTGACTACCTTCTGTCTATACATTATTGTTTTGAAGTAAAATACAACTTTTGGGTACTACCCACCTCAGCTCGTAACCAAAAACCCTTACCTGGTCATAACATCTTTTTTGTTGTCCGAAATTATCCCAGTGTATCCACAGTTCATCAATCCATCAATCAGTTCGGCAATTGTTTCATTACTTGCTTCTTGTATCTAAAAGCAGTAATATTGTTATAAACCTTTTTTAAATGTGAAAAACAAACTAACACGACAACAACCTTTGTAATGAGTTGAGAAAGTTCTACATCAGTTACATCATCTGATGTCACTTGTATGTCATCTGCATCGCCTGAACAAATATATGCATAACACCACTTTCTCATGAAGGAGGGGAGTGGTCCGCCTTGGGCAATACTCGCTGCCATAATCTCACCAGCAGCTCTATTAATCAATCAGAAACAATTAGCAGTAAATACTCAATACAAACGAGTTGTTTCAAATCTTAAAATATGTGTAATATACGTGTTCATAATGATTAGGTGAAATGTATCACCCAGCTGCACGTCATGTAAATCAAAGTTCAACACGTGTGAAATGTACCGGAAATAGTTTTTGTCCAGGCTCCCCAGACAGTAGACTGGATTTTTCCCTTTTTTGTCCACACCACCAACAAAGAGCCTTTTCTCTATTTCTGCAATCATCTCTGTTAAAGGCAGAATATGGGGAGTGACCAAAAATATCAAACAAGGAGTTCAACAAAAGAATGAAGAAAATACCCGTTAAGAATTCCTTTCCTAGGGCACCCGTGTCAAAGCCGTTTTCCTCTATGAAAGACACCATCAGTTTGAATTTTGGAGAGGACTTCTTCTGGCGCTGCCACTGATGCATTCCTCTATTGAAAATATCACTTCTTGATACACAAATTTCAAACGTGCCATCCTGTACTTGAGAACTTATCCAGCTCAGTATTTGGTCCAAACTGAAATTTTTTTTATAAGGAATGAAGAAATTACAAAAATCAAAGTAGTTAAAGTTAAAAAACAAACAACCTTTGGAATGAATCGATAGAATGAACTTCAAAGTCAGAAACATCCTTGCTTGAGACAAAACCAATGTCTTCTGTGTTATTCTGGACTTCCGATCTGCAGTAACAATATCAAAAGAGCATTACACGGCAATCAGCAGTACATTCCTCATTCCTCAATCCTCAAGAACCTCAATCCACACTCTGCTGCATGGACTTCTATTAGGTCTGTGCAGAACATTGTTTTACACACAGGACATTCAGTCTGGGAAAAAAAGTATATATCATTTCACTATACAGAAAAAAAATAATAAATATCTGAACAGTTCACCTTGTCTTTCTTCTTTTCTGGGGACATTGCTGGCATTGGACATTCACTAAGTAGCTCCTGTAAAACGTATATGAAATAGTTGTATTTATCCAATTAATGAATATACTTTTTAAAATTAATAATTAACACACATCATCTGATGTTGACAAGTCCACAAGCTCATTTTTACATGTCTTGACATGTAGCGGAAGTGACTGAAGTGGGACCAACATGTTGCAGGTGGCACATGGAGCCTTCGGCATGAGTTTAAACTCAGGTGCATCAGGGGGTAATGGTGCCATGTCCACAGTGTCCTGAAGAGGGACAATGTACACAGTGCACTTTCCACTTCCAGTAACCGCTTTTAACTGCAGACCATGGTACCCTTCTGCTTCGGGAGGAATTATTATGAGCTCGCGTTGTCCACCTCCCCCTGTTAATAATAATGTAAAATAAATAAATATTACCTACAGTACATAAAATGATCATAAAAGTTTGACAAATGCATTTCTTTCTTGTAGACTTATGTAGCAACCAGCCTCCTTTGACAAGCTCAAGCTTTGGGTAGGCCTTCCAAAGCATCTCACTCAACTAGAAAAAAACAACACATTACTGGAATAATGAGTTAACCACAGTCAGCCAATTTCTATTAATATTGTTTATTGATGCGTTTCATGTTGCACCTTATTGTCAAAGCAAGTTAAGAGTTTGAAAATTGTGTGGCAACAATGGCAATAAAAGTTTTCTGTTTCAAACCTATTGTACTATGTTTACAAGCATTTGTACTATGTATATCAGTGTTTCCAATCCTGGGAAATGGATTTGATACTTCAAATAAAGGCTATATGTGAGTATTTGAATGTAGAACATGTTTAGCAGTGAGTTTTACTTATTTACCTCTGTGTAAGCAAATAATCAATCAATTTTATGTGTATAGCCCAACAAAGTAGACCTGCAGAGCTTTCCAAATAAAGACAACAGATGAATGAAAATGATTAGACAATGAATCGATGTTACTAGCATCTCCTGTCCATAAATTATTGCAAAGTAGTAACTTGTGGTTCCAAAATGAACTTTGTTATATACTTTCTATGTACAGTATTTGTCCATCACTTCATACCTGTGAGTGAGTCATCATTTCGTCAACAAGCAAAGACCGTTTTCCAAGTCCTGCTAAAAGAAGTCTTAGCTCATACTCTCCTTTTGGTGTTTTTGACTGTTTTCTGTCCAAAAAGACAAAATTAACTGAGAAGGACTTTGGTTTTCTGTGATGCTGAGTGAATCGCTTTTTCCTAGTGATGTGCTGAGCGGACCGAGTCTTCGAAGCGTGGACCGAGTAATCTGGGGGCGTTTCTTGTGAAGTGTGGGTCGAGGCGTGTATTGGTCACGTGTGTGGTGACGTTCGAAGCCTCGCGTAGCGGCCGCACCACGTGACGGTTCATATAGTGCTTTATATAGTTCGGAGAGTGCATTGCTTTGACAGGTGCTTTGTGATCCGCGGCTGTACCATAGACTGTATTGGCTGTCCCCGTCTGCCTCTGTGTGCGTACGTGTGTGTGTGTGTGCGTACGTGTGTGTGCGTGATGTGGAGCAGTCCTGTACTAAGTATAGAGAAACTACTTCATATGAAATACAATTAAAAACGTTTCACTTTAGTAAAACCTCATATATCAAGGCTTCAAGTTATTAGTAATAATACGCTGGATAATACATTTCACAACAGCTGTGTGGCGCAGTCGGTCTATGACGGACTCCGAAGCAGAAGATTTAGCGTTCGAATCCTGGTCTACCCATAATAAATTTTGTGTTGCAAAGTAAATGTATTTATTTATTGGGAATAAATGGTTTGTTGAGTTTAATTAATCCACCTCTTGGTAGTTTTTCCTCCATTAATCACTTTCTGTAGAACTGTATTACTTTGGATGTGTTTGTTGTATCAACACAATTGACTGAAAGACTCAAATAGTTCATAGTTCATGAAGCATCATTTCAAACACAACACGTTAGACCATAGATTGTAAATATACATTTTAACATTAGATCTCACCATTCATTGTAAGCACTTAAGAGTGTTATGTATTTCTTTGTCCACATGATGGCGTAGTGGAGCATGATTCACCTTGAGCCTTCGACTCATGGGCCGAGTAATAGGCTGCTATCCCTCAAGGCTTCATGGGGCTTCATATTGCCATCACTACTTTTTCCCCCTTGCTTCCTTTCGAAAGAACCCTGGAAAAGATCTGAAAGGGAAAAAAACCATAGATAAAATAACAAGTAAAAGATTAGAGATGAAAGAATTACTCAAAGATGAATTGATTATTAAAATTATCGTCAAATATTTGTGTCAACTGGATGTACTGCCCGCCAGATAAAAAAAACAAAACAAATAACATTGCTATTACAGTTTAATTTTATTCAAATATTATTGCTGCAGGACGTCTACACAATATTCATACCTTGCCATTTCCTGATGTACCGAATGCGCCCGCAAAGGCCTGGTTGTCCCTTGGCTGTCCTCTTTCTGTCCCTGAGATGATGAGGCGCCGGATTCCCTATTTTCTATAGGTCTAACGCTAGTTATGCTGTTATTTAGCATGCTAAGCAAGTTTTGGGCCGTATTAATAATATCGGCTAGCGGGACCTAGCACACAGAAAATCCAAAAAGTCAGGCCTAATTAAATGGTTTATCATATCAATACAAATAAAGCAGATGTAATGTGTAACGAAGTAAAATGCATAATATTCTGTTGAATAAAACAATACCAGAATAAATGAATAAAACTAGCATTGGAGCTAACAACACTGCCAAAAAAACGTTTCTAGAGGGGGGCAGAAACATCTTATGAACACATTTTATCGAAATAACTTTTCCAACACATTCATTTGCGACCAAAATGATAAAATAGTTATATACCTGATTCTGAGCCACGTTGATAGAGTTGCTGCCCTCTGCCATGTTTTAGATTTGCGGCAATGAAGTTGATCAATTTAGCGCAGGCTCGATTGTTAATGTCTGTGAGCAGTGACGTAATATTGACAGTTTGCTCACTGCTGAAATTCGTATTCTCAAAGAAGAAAATGCAAGCACACAAAAAAAATCGTATTCACAAGTAAGAAATCACGCATATAGTTTTATATTTTTTTATTCTTAACTACGAATTTCCATGTCTTTTGAGTTTGTATTATCTTAATCATGAATGAATAAATTATTTGTATGCACAAATACCGATAAATGTGCACGCATTTTTTTTAAACATGCACGTCTTTAATGACAGTAACCTTACCCCATAAGATAACAGTTAGTTACCCACATTTAACTTAAAATTATACAGCTATCTCTAATTAAAAACAACTAATATACATGTATTTTAACGTGTGTGAAGCAATTCATTTTGTTTCCCAAAGGGTCAGACAAAATTACCTTTAATGTTTATAAAGTTTAGGTCTGAAAATGACCATCTCTTGACGAGTCGATGACGTCACCTGCACTCAGTGTGCACTGTCCCAATTCTGCCTTTTTTGCACACTTGTAACCTGCGCACTCCAACCCTGGTGTGCACTTTGAACAAATGCACACTTCGCAGAGGTGTGTAGGGTGCAGTGTGGGTATTGGGATTGGGCCTCAGTCTCGTCTCAATAGTAAACAAGCCTGAGCAGTAACACCGCCATCTGCTGGCTGCTGTCTGCAACTGCAGCAGGAAGAAACTAAATAAAGAAAAGGAACATGATTGACGTAGCTTCCTCCGGATGTTTCACACGAGTCTCAAAGATAAGTCCATGTTTCTGAAACTCCTGGTGAGAAATGAGTAAATACATTGTAAGTAATTAACCTAATTTTGTCAGAGAACTAAATGTCTAAACTAAGTACACTTCTTTACAGTGATCATTTATTTCAACAGCAGAACAGTTCATTTCACAAAAATATAATATAATAAATACAAAATATGAGGTTAGAAAGAAGCAGTAGAATAAAAACATAAATATCAGACAGTGGTGGCGACTCTGACGGGAGCTGGAGGCACAAACATGGGCAGGTCCATGGAGCGTTCAGAAGGAGCCTGAGGCAGAGGCGAGAAACATGCTCCGTTAGCTTTCCTCAGTGGATTGTGAGAGGGTCCAGGGTCAAAGGTCAAAGGTCGAGAGTCATGTGGTACCTGGTGTAAGCGGTTATAGTCTGGGCTGTAATTATTCAGACCTCCAGCCATTCGGATGTTATTAGGAGACAGCTCAGGTTTAGTCTTCAAGCCCTGAAACAACGAGAAGAACATGCAAAAGAAGGTTTTAGTATGAACTTAGTGGCTCTTTTTTATATTTTCTACATTGTAAGTACATATTATGATAATGTTGCCTTCATTGAACTTTCTGATAATTTATCTCATTCTGTTTTGTCTGTATATTTGTGCTCTATAGTGGTGACAAACACACACTGACATTAGCAAGGCACACAGTTACAGTTGGGCACATTACAGCCGAGGCCGCCCCACTGTGGCACCTGGTGTTCTGAGGTCTCCCATCACAATACTGACCAGGACCTACCCTGCTTAGCTTCAGACATCTGACAGGATTTGGCTTTCACCTGCAGGTGGCGCCACATAGAAACACATGAATTCTGTGTATATTTTTTAGGAAGCTTTATCTTGTTTTCTTAGTAGAATAAACTGTGGAAACATGTCAAGCTTCACAATGAGGTATAACAGAGCTGAAGTTGGCTGGATGACACTGTGAACTGTGCTAATGCTTACTTTGGATAAACAAGACAGAAGACCATATTCAACAGTCTCAGTTTGGAGACCCCTGAGACTGACAAACTGATGATTACATGAATCTAGTGTTTTATTATTCGTTACCTTGTCCGTTGTCATTGGATACCGGACCTGCTCATCTGAAAGAAGGAAACAACAATATAAATCCGTCTGAGTAAACCAAAATATAAGAAATATTTATTGGTCCCTCAGTGGAAAAAACCAATGTCATAGTTGCATTTTAGAGAAATAACAGGACTCAGGTTATGCACACATCAAGCAGGATCTATTGTTTGAAATCGTAGATAATAAAATAACAGTATAATAATAAAATTGTATGCTCTCACTGTGGTGTCTGTGCTTCAGGAGGCAGAGGAAGCCGATGGGTAACAGCAGAAGAAGAATCCCTCCAGGAATCCCAGCTGCGATCCCAGCGATGGCCGATCCACTCAGTCCTGAACCTGAGGGAGAGATGTGGAGCTAAACTTTAGAGACCTGGACCAGGACCAAGACGTGGACCATGACCATGACCCGGACCAAGACACGGACAAAGACAAAGACAAAGACCTAGACCCGGACCAAGACTCGGACCTAGACCTGGACCAAGACCCAGACCAAGACTCGGACTAAGAGCAGACCTAGAGCAGACCCAAGCCGAGGACAAGACCAGACCTAGACCAAAATGAAGACCCGGACCAATAGCAGACCCAAACCAGACCCATCCCTGTATCGCCTCTGTATCGCCTCTGTATCGTCTGTGTATCGTCTGTGTATCGTCTGTGTATCGTCTGTGTATCGTCTGTGTATCGTCTGTGTATCGTCTGTGTATCGTCTGTGTATCGTCTGTGTATCGTCTCTGTATCGTCTCAGTATCGTCTCTGTATCGTCTCCGTATCGTCTCCGTATCGTCTCCGTATTGTCTCTGTATCGTCTCTGTATCGTCTCCGTATTGTCTCTGTATCGTCTCCGTATTGTCTCTGTATCGTCTCTGTATGGTCTCAGTATCGTCTCCGTATTGTCTCTGTATCGTCTCTGTATCGTCTCCGTATTGTCTCTGTATCGTCTCCGTATTGTCTCTGTATCGTCTCTGTATGGTCTCAGTATCGTCTCCGTATTGTCTCTGTATTGTCTCAGTATCGTCTCCGTATCGTCTCAGTATCGTCTCAGTATCGTCTCCGTATTGTCTCAGTATCGTCTCCGTATTGTCTCTGTATCGTCTCCGTATCGTCTCAGTATCGTCTCCGTATCGTGACCTGGGCCGATGTGCTGCACGGCGGAGGGTTCCCCGTTGATGAGCCGAGCTTTGGGGACCACCCTGAACTTGTAGTTGAGTTTTGGGTCCAGGTTCAGGATGTCTGTGGACCGGGCCGAGCCGGGCCTCTGCTGGATGGTACGGAACGAAGAAGCTCGACCCGGCAGGATTCCCTGCGAGCGCTCCAGGTCTGGACCCTGCATCTGAATCTCGAACCCTGGGAGAAGAGACGAGAAATGAGAAAACACAGAGACCAGAGCTAGAGACCAGAGACTGTAGACCAGAGACCAGAGACCAGAGAGACCATAGAGACCAGAGACCAGAGACCAGAGACCAGAGAGACCATAGAGACCAGAGACCAGAGACCAGAGACCAGAGACAGACCCAGAGACCAGGGACCAGGGACCAGAGAGACCAGAGAGACCAGAGACCAGAGACCAGAGACCAGAGACCAGAGACAGACCCAGAGACCAGGGACCAGGGACCAGAGAGACCAGAGACCAGAGAGACCATAGAGACCAGAGACCAGAGACCAGAGACCAGAGACCAGAGAGACCATAGAGACCAGAGACCAGAGACAGACCCAGAGACCAGGGACCAGGGACCAGGGACCAGAGAGACCAGAGACATTCATTCCAAGACAGACATTTATGAATAATTTACAAATTTACTTTTAAATCCTTGTCTGTGTGAATTTCATGTAATCCTCAGACTGTCAGTCAAGCTGCATAGGGAGCCCCCTGCTGGAGAAGTATGGTAACAGCACTATCCTCTCCTCCTTTCTACTTTATCTGTTTAGCATTATTAGGATTTTGACTGTAGTTTGTTCATTGCTATTCACCCGTTGTCCCATTGTCTGTTCCATGGTACGTGTGTGACATTCATCAACATGTGTTCTATATTCTTTCTGTGTTTTAACTGTTGATTTTCTGATCTGTGGTGATTTCAATGGTTTTGTGAAGTTTCTGAGACGATGCTGTTGTGATTTAGAAAAAATTGTACTGTAAATTTGTGACTTTTGCTCTTGATGTTTCCGATTAAGAAAACAGAAAACAGTGAAGACGTCGACACATTTCCTGTTTTCAACACTGAGTAAGAGCAGCTCTGACATTTATACTTCCCATCGCTCTTGTTTACGCCCTTATATTCCACCATGTTTCCACACAACACTCTGTAGATAAGCTCCTGCTGAGTCAAACTGTACCTGTGTGAACTGTTTACAGAGGGACGATGCTAACCTGCTAGCTTAATGTAGCCCAAAAGGGAAGTGCTCAGGTGACAAAGTTTGGCTCAAACTTCTGTATCTCTGTTTGTGTCACACTCAGCATTTAGAGCTGATGACGTCACCAGAACAGATCAGTGTGACACCAAGAGCTCAGTCAAACTCACACCAAGACTGTAGATAGATGGCAACAGCACTTATTGTAGTGTAAAACATAACCTTGAAATAACAGTAACCAGTAACATTTCTGAAGTCATGCTTCTTCAGCTTTAACACTAACACTGTCAACATCATCCCGCGGTCAGTCCTCTCCTGATACAGTCTGTGTTTGAAGTTTAGAAAAAACCTGTGACGATGGAGGTGGGCGGGACTTCCCAGGTGAGCGTGACCACGGTCCCGTCCCGGTTGGAGAACAGACTGGAATCAGAGATGACTGGAGCTGCAGACACAGAGGCACAGGCTCAGGGAGGACTGTGGAGCTTTGTATCAGAGGAAAGTAATCTCAGCTTTGAGGTAGCTCCGGTCAGAGCCCCCATTGTTCCTCTGCGGACCCTCACACCGGACTTTAAATTAGAATCTGCAGGAAACGTGATCCTGCAGCTTTAAGAGAGAGATGGAGTCCAGAGAAAACAAATGTTCAGAAGTTACTCTGCCACAGCTGGATTTAAAACTGTTTGGTTCTATATCTATTTTACAAATGTGTTTATGTCTTTGTCATCAACAGATTTTAGACAAAAAAGTGAAAAGAGCAAAAACCAGAACATTTGGGCTGAATTAATATATATTGATATTTCCATAGAAAAAAGTTTCCTCTGCTAATACAGACTGTGCACTTCTAATGAAAAGATTTAAAATGTCTCTGGTCTCTCTCTGGTCTCTCTCTGGTCTCTCTCTCTGGTCTCTCTCTGGTCTCTCTCTGGTCTCTCTCTGGTCTCTCTCTGGTCTCTCTCTGGTCTCTCTCACTGGTCTCTCTCTCTTGTCTCTCTCTGGTCTCTCTCTCTGGTCTCTCTCTGGTCTCTCTCTCTGGTCTCTCTCTGGTCTCTCTCTCTGGTCTCTCTCTGGTCTCTCTCTCTAGTTTCTCTCTGGTCTCTCTCTGGTCTCTCTCTGGTCTCTCTCTCTAGTCTCTCTCTGGTCTCTCTCTGGTCTCTCTCTGGTCTCTCTCTCTGGTCTCTCTCTGGTCTCTCTCTGGTCTCTCTCTCTTGTCTCTCTCTGGTCTCTCTCTCTTGTCTCTCTCTGGTCTCTCTCTCTGGTCTCTCTCTGGTCTCTCTCTGGTCTCTCTCTGGTCTCTCTCTGGTCTCTCTCTGGTCTCTCTCTCTAGTCTCTCTCTGGTCTCTCTCTGGTCTCTCTCTGGTCTCTCTCTGGTCTCTCTCTCTGGTCTCTCTCTGGTCTCTCTCTGGTCTCTCTCTCTAGTCTCTCTCTGGTCTCTCTCTGGTCTCTCTCTGGTCTCTCTCTGGTCTTTCTCTGGTCTCTCTCTGGTCTCTCTCTGGTCTCTCTCTGGTCTTTCTCTGGTCTTTCTCTGGTCTCTCTCTGGTCTCTCTCTGGTCTCTCTCTCTGGTCTCTCTCTGGTCTCTCTCTGGTCTTTCTCTGGTCTTTCTCTGGTCTCTCTCTGGTCTCTCTCTGGTCTCTCTCTCTGGTCTCTCTCTGGTCTCTCTCTCTGGTCTCTCTCTGGTCTCTCTACCAGCCCTGCAGTAACTCTAAATACATCTGGATTTTCCACAACAACATTGAAAGAAGAGAAACCCTGTCTGTAGAAGAGAGTAACCCCTAAAGCGAGAGAGTACCTCGCAGCTGTATCTGTCGGCGCTGCTCTCCCAGAGGGTTGCGGCAGGAGCAGGTGTACTGGTGCAGGAGGAAGGTGGTGATGTTGTGGTCCTCGCCGGTGAGCTCAGTGGAGCTGAGGCTGTAGACCTGGCTGTTGTTCACTGCCTCTGTGCCCTTGAGCCAGGACACCACAGCCACAGGCACCGCCGCACTCACACAGCTCATGGTCACACGGATCTTACCCTCTGAGCTCACCCCGAAGGACAGGGAGGGGAGGAAGGGCGCTGGGGCGGCTGTGGCAGAGGAAGGAAACTGGAAATCACTCACAAGAATTAATCACAGAAAAATAAAAACCCCGACATGGTTCAAAACAACATTTATGGACTTTATAAACATTTATGTTCATGGTCTCTGCTCCTGATGGTCCTGTGTGTGTTTCCTTCACATCGAGAAGAGGAGTGGGCCAAGAACAGAACCCTGGGGGACCCCACAGTGTAAAGACAGATCTATGAGTCTGGCTCAGAGAATAGACTTTGAGCTGATCCTGTGACATGTTAGTGCCAAATGAAACATACAGAGGCAGCATTTCAGATTCATGCAGCGAATAAATCAAACAGTCTTCCTGAAAAAGTGAGACAGACTTCTCCGACAGTGTTCAAATCCAGGTTAAAACAAACAACAAGGATTTTATCTTCACTCTTTTGACTCTAAGCCTGTTTCACTCTTTGTTCAGCACTTTCCTTCTGTATGACCTGTGCTAAACAAATAAACTGGACAGACCCTCTCCCAGGCTAACCCGCTCTCTCCCAGGCTAACCCGCTCTCTCCCAGACTAGCTCTCTCTCTCCCAGACTAAGCCTCTCTCTCCCAGACTAACCCGCTCTCTCCCAGACTAGCTCTCTCTCTCCCAGACTAAGCCTCTCTCTCCCAGACTAACCCGCTCTCTCCCGGACTAACCCGCTCTCTCCCAGACTAACCTGCTCTCTCCCAGACTAACCCGCTCTCTCCCAGACTAACCCGGACTAACCTGCTCTCTCCCAGACTAACCCGTTCTCTCCCAGACTAACCCGCTCTCTCCCAGACTAACCCGCTCTCTCCCAGACTAACCCGCTCTCCCAGACTAACCCGTTCTCTCCCAGACTAACCCGCTCTCTCCCAGACTAACCCGCTCTCTCCCAGACAAACCCGGACTAACCCACTCTCTCCCGGACTAACCCGCTCTCCCAGACTAACCCGCTCTCTCCTGGGTTAACCTGCTCTCTCCCAGGCTAACCCGCTCTCTCCCGGGCTAACCCACTCTCTCCCAGACTAACCCTCTCTCCCCACAGACTAACCCACTCTCTCCCGGACTAACCCTCTCTCCCACAGACTAACCCTCTCTCCCACTGACTAACCCTCTCTCTCTCAGACTAACCCGCTCTCTCCCGGACTAACCCGCTCTCTCCCGGACTAACCCGCTCTCTCCCAGACTAACCCGCTCTCTCCCAGACTAACCCGCTCTCTCCCGGGTTAACCTGCTCTCTCCCAGACTAACCCACTCTCTCCCGGACTAACCCGCTCTCTCCCAGACTAACCCCCTCTCTCCCAGACTAACCCGCTCTCTCCCAGGCTAACCCGCTCTCTCCCAGACTAACCCGCTCTCTCCCAGACTAACCCGCTCTCTCCCAGACTAACCCCCTCTCTCCCAGACTAACCCGCTCTCTCCCAGGCTAACCCGCTCTCTCCAAGACTAACCCTCTCTCTCCCAGACTAACCCGCTCTCTCCCAGACTAACCCCCTCTCTCCCAGACTAACCCGCTCTCTCCCGGGCTAACCCACTCTCTCCCGGACTAACCCGCTCTCTCCCAGGCTAACCCGCTCTCTCCCGGACTAACCCTCTCTCCCGGGCTAACCCTCTCTCCCACAGACTAACCCGCTCTCTCCCGGGCTACCCCACTCTCTCCCGGACTAACCCTCTCTCCCACAGACTAACCCTCTCTCTCTCAGACTAACCCGCTCTCTCCCGGACTAACCCGCTCTCTCCCGGACTAACCCGCTCTCTCCCAGACTAACCCGCTCTCTCCCAGACTAACCCGCTCTCTCCTGGGTTAACCTGCTCTCTCCCGGGCTAACCCGCTCTCTCCCAGACTAACCCACTCTCTCCCGGACTAACCCTCTCTCCCACAGACTAACCCGCTCTCTCCCAGACTAACCCGCTCTCTCCCGGGCTAACCCGCTCTCTCCCAGACTAACCCCCTCTCTCCCAGACTAACCCGCTCTCTCCCAGACTAACCTGCTCTCTCCCAGACTAACCCGCTCTCTCCCAGACTAACCCCCTCTCTCCCAGACTAACCCGCTCTCTCCCAGACTAACCCGCTCTCTCCCAGACTAACCCCCTCTCTCCCAGACTAACCCGCTCTCTCCCAGACTAACCCGCTCTCTCCCGGACTAACCCGCTCTCTCCCGGACTAACCCGCTCTCTCCTAGACTAACCCGCTCTCTCCCGGGCTAACCCGCTCTCTCCCAGACTAACCCGCTCTCTCCCGGGCTAACCCGCTCTCTCCCAGACTAACCCGCTCTCTCCCAGACTAACCCGCTCTCTCCCGGACTAACCCGCTCTCTCCCAGACTAACCCGCTCTCTCCCAGACTAACCCGCTCTCTCCTGGGTTAACCTGCTCTCTCCCGGGCTAACCCGCTCTCTCCCAGACTAACCCGCTCTCTCCCAGACTAACCCCCTCTCTCCCAGACTAACCCGCTCTCTCCCAGACTAACCCCCTCTCTCCCAGCCTAACCCGCTCTCTCCCAGACTAACCCCCTCTCTCCCAGACTAACCCGCTCTCTCCCAGGCTAACCCGCTCTCTCCCAGACCAACCCGCTCTCTCCCAGACTAACCCGCTCTCTCCCAGACTAACCCCCTCTCTCCCAGACTAACCCCCTCTCTCCCAGGCTAACCCGCTCTCTCCCAGACTAACCCTCTCTCTCCCAGACTAACCCGCTCTCTCCCAGACTAACCCCCTCTCTCCCAGACTAACCCGCTCTCTCCCGGGCTAACCCACTCTCTCCCGGACTAACCCGCTCTCTCCCAGTCTAACCCGCTCTCTCCCAGACTAACCCGCTCTCTCCCGGTCTAACCCGCTCTCTCCCAGACCAACCCGCTCTCTCCCAGACTAACCCGCTCTCTCCCAGACTAACCCCCTCTCTCCCAGACTAACCCCCTCTCTCCCAGGCTAACCCGCTCTCTCCCAGACTAACCCTCTCTCTCCCAGACTAACCCGCTCTCTCCCAGACTAACCCCCTCTCTCCCAGACTAACCCGCTCTCTCCCGGGCTAACCCACTCTCTCCCGGACTAACCCGCTCTCTCCCAGGCTAACCCGTTCTCTCCCAGGCTAACCCGCTCTCTCCCGGACTAACCCTCTCTCCCACAGACTAACCCGCTCTCTCCCGGGCTAACCCGCTCTCTCCCGGGCTAACCCGCTCTCTCCCGGGCTAACCCGTTCTCTCCCGGGCTAACCCACTCTCTCCCGGACTAACCCTCTCTCCCCCAGACTAACCCGCTCTCTCCCGGGCTAACCCACTCTCTCCCGGACTAACCCTCTCTCCCACAGACTAACCCGCTCTCTCCCGGGCTAACCCACTCTCTCCCAGACTAACCCTCTCTCCCACAGACTAACCCACTCTCTCCCGGACTAACCCTCTCTCCCGGACTAATCCTCTCTCCCACAGACTAACCCTCTCTCTCTCAGACTAACCCGCTCTCTCCCAGACTAACCCTCTCTCTCCCAGACTAACCCGCTCTCTCCCAAACTAACCCCCTCTCTCCCAGACTAACCCGCTCTCTCCCGGGCTAACCCACTCTCTCCCGGACTAACCCGCTCTCTCCCAGGCTAACCCGCTCTCTCCCGGACTAACCCTCTCTCCCACAGACTAACCCGCTCTCTCCCGGGCTAACCCGCTCTCTCCCAGACTAACCCGCTCTCTCCCAGACTAACCCGCTCTCTCTCGGGCTAACCCGCTCTCTCCCGGGCTAACCCTCTCTCTCCCGGGCTAACCCGTTCTCTCCCGGGCTAACCCACTCTCTCCCGGACTAACCCTCTCTCCCACAGACTAACCCGCTCTCTCCCGGGCTAACCCGCTCTCTCCCAGACTAACCCGCTCCCTCCCAGACTAACCCGCTCCCTCCCAGACTAACCTGCAGTGATGTTGCAGGAGGCGTGCAGCACTGGGTGGGAGGCGGAGCAGGAGACAGAGGTCCCGCTCAGGTTCTGGGTCGCAGCCACAGTGAGGGTCAGGAGCCCAGGGGCCGAGCTGTTGTCGAGTCCCGGGAACGAGATCTGAGCCGGGGGGGTCCCACCGGGCCACGAGCACCGATACTGAAGGTCCAAGTCCCCCAGCGCCAACACCGAGCACACGGGACTGTCCCCCGGACTTTCTGAGGAGAAGCCAGAGATTATTCATACAGAGGTCTCCAACTGTCTCTCTCTCTGGTCTCTCTCTGGTCTCTCTCTGGTCTCTCTCTCTGGTCTCTCTCTCTGGTCTCTCTCTGGTCTCTCTCTGGTCTCTCTCTCTGGTCTCTCTCTGGTCTCTCTCTGGTCTCTCTCTGGTCTCTCTCTCTGGTCTCTCTCTGGTCTCTCTCTGGTCTCTCTCTGGTCTCTCTCTCTGGTCTCTCTCTCTGGTCTCTCTCTGGTCTCTCTCTGGTCTCTCTCTCTGGTCTCTCTCTGGTCTCTCTCTGGTCTCTCTCTCTGGTCTCTCTCTCTGGTCTCTCTCTGGTCTCTCGCTGGTCTCTCTCTGGTCTCTCTCTGGTCTCTCTGTCCTCTCTCTCTGTCCTCTCTCTCTGGTCTCTCTCTGGTCTCTCTCTGGTCTCTCTGGTCTCTCTCTGGTCTCTCTCTGTCCTCTCTGTCCTCTCTCTCTGTCCTCTCTCTCTGGTCTCTCTCTGGTCTCTCTCTGGTCTCTCTCCGGTCTCTCTCTCTGGTCTCTCTCTGGTCTCTCTCTGGTCTCTCTCTGGTCTCTCTCTGGTCTCTCTCTGGTCTCTCTCTGGTCTCTCTCTGGTCTCTCTCTCTGGTCTCTCTCTGGTCTCTCTCTGGTCTCTCTCTAGTCTCTCTCTCTGGTCTCTCTCTGGTCTCTCTGGTCTCTCTCTGGTCTCTCTCTGGTCTCTCTCTGGTCTCTCTCTGGTCTCTCTCTAGTCTCTCTCTCTGGTCTCTCTCTGGTTTCTCTCTGGTCTCTCTCTGGTCTCTCTCTGGTCTCTCTCTGGTCTCTCTCTGGTCTCTCTCTCTGGTCCTCCTTTCTGGTCTCTCTCTGGTCTCTCTCTGGTCTCTCTCTAGTCTCTCTCTCTGGTCTCTCTCTGGTTTCTCTCTGGTCTCTCTCTGGTCTCTCTCTCTGGTCTCTCTCTGGTCTCTCTCTCTGGTCTCTCTCTGGTCTCTCTCTGGTCTCTCTCTCTGGTCTCTCTCTGGTCTCTCTCTGGTCTCTCTCTGGTCTCTCTCTGGTCTCTCTCTGGTCTCTCTCTCTGGTCTCTCTCTGGTCTCTCTCTGGTCTCTCTCTAGTCTCTCTCTCTGGTCTCTCTCTGGTCTCTCTCTGGTCTCTCTCTGGTCTCTCTCTGGTCTCTCTCTGGTCTCTCTCTGGTCTCTCTCTCTGGTCTCTCTCTGGTCTCTCTCTCTGGTCTCCCTCTGGTCTCTCTCTGGTCTCTCTCTGGTCTCTCTCTGGTCTCTCTCTCTGGTCTCCCTCTGGTCTCTCTCTGGTCTCTCTCTGGTCTCTCTCTGGTCTCTCTCTGGTCTCTCTCTGGTCTCTCTCTGGTCTCTCTCTCTGGTCTCTCTCTGGTCTCTCTCTCTGGTCTCCCTCTGGTCTCTCTCTGGTCTCTCTCTGGTCTCTCTCTGGTCTAAAACATGTAAATACATCTTTATCACTGAATAAACGACTCTCACCATAAACTCTGAGTGTCACGTTCTTGCTCTGACTCGTTCTGGTCTCGCCGTTGACCGCGGAGCAGGTGTATTCTCCATTGTGACTCGTCTGAACGTTGGTCAGAGTCAGGACTTCGCCGTCGTCCAGTTTCTCTCCTTTAAACGTCCAGGAGTAAAGCGGCGGCGGGAAGCTGTCGGCGCCACACGAGAGGTTCAGGGAAGATCCAGAAACATGAAACGGCAGATCTGGAGACGCCGTGACCTCGGGCTCATCCGGTCCATCTGCGGCACGGACACCACGACTTTACTACACACAGAAAGACACACAACCTTCTCCACCGACTCCCACTGATGACTGCTGTCGTTGTGTCCTTTGGCATGACACTTAACCCCACTTTGCCTGAAGCCCCCACTGAAAGACCAAGGCTGTGCTCTCACAGACAGAGCAGCCTCCTGTGGACTCAGTGAGGGCCTGGTGCTGTGGCTGCCACCGACACAGAAATGGATAAAGGGGAAGAAAAAGGATGGATGGAGAGTAAACAAAAGGCCATGTACAGTTCTCTGTCTCTGCAGTAATGTTGTCTTTAGTATATTTGTAAGAAAGATCCCATTAAGTCACTATTTGACATTTTAGGCTGAAAGCTGATTGGTCGAGAGAGAGTGGACCTCTTTTTTTTATGATATATCTGAAAAATCTAAAGATGTTACAGAGAGAAAAATCTACCCAAAATTAGTGTTCGTATTTACATGTTTTTAGCGTTCATATTTACATGTTTTTAGCGTTCATATTTACATGTTTTTAGCGTTCATATTTACATGTTTTTAGCGTTCATATTTACATGTTTTTAGCGTTCATATTTACATGTTTTAGCGTTCATATTTACATGTTTTTAGCGTTCATATTTACATGTTTTAGCGTTTATATTTACATGTTTTTAGCGTTTATATTGACATGTTTTTAGCGTTCATATTTACATGTTTTTAGCGTTCATATTTACATGTTTTTAGCGTTCATATTTACATGTTTTTAGCGTTCATATTTACATGTTTTTAGCGTTCATATTTACATGTTTTTAGCGTTCATATTTACATGTTTTTAGCGTTCATATTTACATGTTAAGGATTGTGCTTCTTTACAGACTTTCTCATCGTAACATTTTTATAGTAGAAGTTTAAAAACAAGTATAGTAGTAGTTTGTGTTTCTAAAACCCACATAAAACCGTGACCATGGTCCGGGCGGTGGCGTTGCTGTAGGGGTTCCTCAGGGTCAGGGTGTAAGGACCCGAGTCGGTCCGGACCGGGGCCAGGATCACCAGGTTGTTCAGATCCACATGGTAGCGGTCGCTGGTCTGGATCTCTGTGTCTCCGAACGTCCACGTGGCGTCCTGCACCACTCCCCGCACCATGGTGTACCCCAGGGACCAGCGCTTGGACCCCTCAACTACTGAGTCAGGATGCCAGGTCAGGACCACGCCTTCAAACCTCTCTGTGGATGTTAAAGAAGCAGTGTGTCAGATTTACCATTAAAGGGCCCTAATCTGTCATCATTAATGATGACGGATTAGGGCCCTTTAATTATGACAAATTAGGGCCCTTTGATGATGACAGATTAGGGCCCTTTAATGATGACAGATTAGGGCCCTTTAATGATGACAGATTAGGGCCCTTTAATGATGACAGATTAGGGCCCTTTAATGATGACAGATTAGGGCCCTTTAATGATGACAGATTAGGGCCCTTTAATGATGACAGATTAGGGCCCTTTAATGAAGACAGATTAGGGCCCTTTAATGAAGACAGATTAGGCCCAATGTCCTCCCCCTGGATGTTCAGCAGCGTGTGGGAAAGTGGTTTTCTCCTGAAGTCGATGATCATCTCCTTGGTCTTACTGGTGTTCAAGCACAAGTGGTTGCGCTCACACCAGTCGACAAAGTCCTTGATAACCGACCGATATTCCAGTTGGTTCCCCTCAGACACACAGCCCACGATGGCGGAGTCGTCTGAGAACTTCTGCAGGTGACAGCTGTGTGTGTCGTGTGTGAAGTCTGAGGTGTAGATGGTGAAGAGAAACGGTGAGAGGACAGTGCCCTGAGGGGCCCCAGTGCTGCAGACGACCACCTCAGACTCACAGCTGCGCAGCCGCACGTACTGTGGTCGGTCTGAGAGGTAGTTGATGGTCCATGCAGTGAGGTAGTTGATGGTCCATGCAGTGAGGTAGTTGATGGTCCATGCAGTGAGGTAGTTGATGGTCCATGCAGTGAGGCTACTGTCCACTCCCGCGTCCTCCATCTTCCCCCGCAGCAGTGCCGATCTGATGGTATTGAAAGCGCTGGGGAAGTCGAAAAACATGACCCTCACAGCGCTCCCGGCGTGCTCCAGGTGGGAGAGCGTCCGCTGCAGGAAGTAGATGACGGCGTCCTCTACTCCGATGTTGGGTCTGTAGGCGAACTGCAGCGGGTCCAGGGTTGGGCTGACCACGGAGCGGAGATGGGTGAGGATGAGCCGCTCCATGGTCTTCATCAGGTGGGAGGTCAGTGCTCCATGGTCTTCATCAGGTGGGAGGTCAGTGCTCCATGGTCTTCATCAGGTGGGAGGTCAGTGCTCCATGGTCTTCATCAGGTGGGAGGTCAGTGCTCCATGGTCTTCATCAGGTGGGAGGTCAGTGCTCCATGGTCTTCATCAGGTGGGAGGTCAGTGCGACTGGTCTGTAGTGAGCCGGTTCCTTGGCGTGTGCTGTTTTTGGGACCGGGATCACACAGGAGGTCTTCCACAGGAGGTCTTCCACAGGAGGTCTTCCACAGGAGGTCTTCCACAGGAGGTCTTCCACAGGAGGTCTTCCACAGGAGGTCTTCCACAGGACAGGGACCTTCTCCAGGCTGAGGCTCAGGTTGTACATGTAGCTGAGGACCCCAGAGAGCTGGTCTGCACAGGTCCTCAGCAGCCTGGGACTGATCCCGTCCGGTCCTGCGGATTTCCTCAGCTTCAGGCGCTGGAGCTGACTCCTCACCTGGTCCGGTGTGATGGAGAGGGGGGGGGGGGACCGGGGTGTACTGTCCGAGGTGGGGGCTGGGGATGCGGGGGCAGGAGGGCCCGGGGATGCGGGGGCAGGAGGGCCCGGGGCAGCCGGAGGCGGTGTCCACTGGGCTGGGGACGCCGCCAGTGCGGTCAGCTCCTCAGTCTTATTAGAGATGGACCGTACGTTCCCCATGAGGATGGAGGGGAGATACGGTCTCTTCTTCCTCTTGCGGCCTCCTCTGGAGCCCCTGTGTCTCCTACGGATCTCCAAGGGGATCACCGGCTTCTCTGAGTGCCGGAAAGCTGAGTCTCTAAGTCCGAGAAGCTGCTCCCGTGTGTAAACAATGGGACACGCTGGTCTCGTGGCTCTGTGAGCGGAGGACACCAAAAAAAGTGCCAAAGACATGTTAATCCAGTGCAAAGGTCCACAAGGCTAGGCTTCCTGTGTGCACAATGCACAAATAAACGCTTGTCTACGAAAAATAAAAATAAAAAACCTAATCTGTCATCATCTAAGGGCCCTAATCTGTCATCATTAAAGGGCCCTAATCTGTCATCATCTAAAGGCCCTAATCTGTCATCATTTAAGGGCCTCTGGGAACAGCAGGTGCCACAGTGGGGCGGCTGCAGCTGTAAAGTGCCAAACTGTGGTTGTGTCCTTAGGCAAGAAACTTCCCCCACATTAGAATGAGTCTGGTGTGTGTGTGAATGGGACAGACTGGTTGCCACCCTTCTGTCTGTGTGCCCCAGGGCAGCTGTGGCTACTATAGAAGTTTATCTCTGTATAAAACTGATGCATTATTATATCTGATGATGATGGATTATAATAATCTATAATCTTCTATCCGTCAGGAGAGAAACAGCCTTTAACAGACACAGTGATGGTCATCTGACTGTACCATCTGACTGCACCATCTGACTGCACCATCTGACTGCACCATCTGACTGCACCATCTGACTGCACCATCTGACTGCACCATCTGACTGCACCATCTGACTGCACCATCTGACTGTACCATCTGACTGTACCATCTGACTACACCATCTGACTGTACCATCTGACTACACCATCTGACTGCACCATCTGACTGTACCATCTGACTGTACCATCTGACTGTACCATCTGACCGCACCATCTGACTGTACCATCTGACTGTACCATCTGACTGTACCATCTGACTGTACCATCTGACTGTACCATCTGACTGCACCATCTGACTGTACCATCTGACTACACCATCTGACCGCACCATCTGACTGTACCATCTGACTACACCATCTGACTGCACCATCTGACTGTACCATCTGACTGTACCATCTGACCGCACCATCTGACTGTACCATCTGACTGCACCATCTGACTGTACCATCTGACCGCACCATCTGACTGTACCATCTGACTACACCATCTGACTGTACCATCTGACTGTACCATCTGACTGCACCATCTGACTGTACCATCTGACTGCACCATCTGACTGTACCATCTGACTGTACCATCTGACTGCACCATCTGACTGTACCATCTGACCGCACCATCTGACTGTACCATCTGACTGTACCATCTGACTGTACCATCTGACTGTACATCTGACTGTACCATCTGACTGTACCATCTGACTGTACCATCTGACTGTACCATCTGACTGCACCATCTGACTGTACCTTCTGACTGTACCATCTGACTACACCATCTGACTGTACCATCTGACCGCACCATCTGACTGTACCATCTGACTGCACCATCTGACTGTACCATCTGACCGCACCATCTGACTGTACCATCTGACTACACCATCTGACTGCACCATCTGACTGTACCATCTGACTGTACCATCTGACTGCACCATCTGACTGTACCATCTGACCGCACCATCTGACTGTACCATCTGACTGTACCATCTGACTGTACCATCTGACTGTACATCTGACTGTACCATCTGACTGTACCATCTGACTGCACCATCTGACTGTACCTTCTGACTGTACCATCTGACTACACCATCTGACTGTACCAGACTGACTGTACCATCTGACTGTACCAGACTGACTGTACCATCTGACTGTACCAGACTCTCACTGCTCCTGCGTCACTAATATCTTTGTACCACATCAGAAGTGGCCTGACGCGCTCTTTCACACAGAACACACGTGTATTTTCCATCATGTGTGTTCAGAGACACGTGTTCAGAGAGTTTCACCTGAAGCTGTTTGCTCTGTCACAAAACACCATTATTTACATTTATTATTATTCACTTTAAGGTTAATATTCCTTTAAAACACATTCTTTCAATAAAAACAAGATATCAATTATTATATTCTACATTTTCAACCGTGAACCTTTGAAACGTTTGCAAATTCTTATAATAAAAACATGATTAATGAACAATTCTCTTTGGTTTTGGCTTTTCCAGTTCTGGTTCAGTCCAAACCCACAGAAACTGGAATCTAGAATAAAATAATCTGCAAATCAGGTTAAATTTTAAGTAATAATATCTTTATAATGTTTTATCTTATGTTATAAATGTTATAAAGTCTAATTCAGCAGCAGCAGTGTTTGAGTGACACTGAGTTTAGACTGATCCTGGATCTGTGCTTCAGGGCTGGGTGTGTGTCTGTGTGTGTGTGTGCACGTGTGTGTGTGTGTGTGTGTCTGTGTGTGTCTATCTCAGTGTGTGTGTGTGTGTGTGTACTGTATCTGTGTGTGTCTATCTCAGTGTGTGTGTGTGTGTACTGTATCTGTGTGTGTCTATCTCAGTGTGTGTGTGTCTGTGTGTGTGTATCTCAGTGTGTGTGTGTGTGTACTGTATCTGTGTGTGTCTATCTCAGTGTGTGTGTGTCTGTGTGTGTGTATCTCAGTGTGTGTGTGTGTGTACTGTATCTGTGTGTGTGTGTGTGTGTGTGTGTGTGTACTGTATCTGTGTGTGTCTATCTCAGTGTGTGTGTGTGTGTGTGTGTGTGTGTGTGTAGGGTTAAGTAACATGCTGTATGAATTGAACCACAACTTTTCGTGTTTGGAAAGACTTTTTGTCTATAAGAAAAACTCAAGCATCAGTATTACCTTTGTCTGTGTGGAGTTTGCATGTTCTCCCCATGTCTGCATTGGTTTCCTCGACTCAGTGGTTACACAAAGGTCAATAATAAAAATAATCTTATCTCTGTAAATGTATTTGTTGTGCTCCTTGTGCTCTTACTGCTGTCCTGTAAGTGCGCTGCAACACTGAAATTGAAAATGTGGATAAATGTGGATAAATGTGGATAAATGTGGATAAATGTGGATAAATGTCTGGGCTCTGAATGAACCGCCGAGAAAAGGGGAAAAGGCTTTAATCTGTTGAATAAAGGTAAAAACTGAAGATACATTTTCAGAACGTTACAGTATTTTTCTAGTCTGCTTCTATCCGTGGCCTGTGGGTGCCAGATAAGCGTCAGTATCAGTAATCCAGCCGCAGAGTCTGACCGTAGACGGTGAGGGTGAAGTTGAGCGTGGCGGTGCCCTGTCCAGACTTGGTCATCTCCACGCTGTAGCCGCCGCTGTAGTCCAGGGTCACGCCCACAAACTGGAGCGAGCCGTTGGCGCTGACCCCCAGGACCGAGGCCAGCCCGGGGTGGATGTCCGGGGGCGCGCTGGTGTTGATGGTCCAGGTCGCCACAGGATCCAGGCCCCTCCTCCAGATGATGGCGGCGTTCGAGGCCCTGCTGTAGGACACGCCCAGAGTCACATTGCCCCCGACTAAAACACTGGCAACGTCAGGACCAGACGCACTGAGCTCCAGCAGAGCCTGGGAGCCTGCGGACACACACACACACACAGACACACAACAGACACACACACACAGACACACACACACGCACACAACAGACACACACATACACACACACATATATGTTTTATGCTCAGTTAGAACAGAAGATTTGCAAACAAACTCAATGCATTATCCATCCATTCTTCCCCTTAATCCATGTCTGGGTGGGGGTGGCAGTCAGAGCACCAGCCCCTCACTGATCCTCCTGCAGGAGCTGAGTCCACAGGAGCTGAGATCTTTCAGTGGGGGCTTCAGGCAAAGTGGGGTTAAGTGTCTTGCCCAAGGACACAACGACAGTAGACATCAGTGGGAGTCGTGAAGTGGGTCTCATGGTGGGCTCGAACCCACGACCTTCAGGCTCAAAGGCCAATGCTCTACACACTGAGCCACTGTCGCTCCTTCAACATTCTTTCTCTTTTACAGTCATAACAATAACCAATACTAATCATATAATAAACATATAATAATATCCAATAATATAATAATCATATAATACAGTAATAACAGAAGGATAGAATGCTTCTGTCATAGATCACATGGACCAGGAATATTTCAGATTTATGCAACTAAAATCCGGAACAGTCTTCTTGAAAAAGTGAGACAGGCTTCTTCTCTCCTTCAGTCCTTCTACAAATGAAGATTTATAACTTCTCATTTTAAAGAACTACTACAAATTAATATTCTTTTTATTTATTTCACACTTTCTTTTGGGATTCAGTTTCTTTTCAAACAGGATCATGTTTTCGATCATGTAATTTAATCTGGACGTTTCAGAATGAGTGAAACTGTTTCTAATGAATAAACATTGTAAAAACTAATTTCTCAAACTGACGTCATTAGTTTTATAATATAGCAATATACAATTTAAAAGTATTCAGCAGATTACAGAACTCTGACGGGAATAACAAACACAAGCCATTGGTCCAAATGGATGACAGCTGTAATGTCCAGAAACAGTTATAAATGTGGATAAATGTCTTTGCAGAAAACTATCCATAAACGGTTTAATCTGGTTGAGTAAAGGTAAAAACTGAGTACGTCACAAAATACACCTCAGAAACATTTTCAAAACAGTATAAGTTTTCTTAGACACATTCCCAAAGTTTTCTCCTGAACTGAAAACATGAAACATTCTCAGATAAAAGTCCATCAGAAAAGTCTACATTTCTTTCGTCGTTAGAAGTTTGTGTAAAACCAGGTGTCAACATTATTAATGTCACAGCCTCGTTCCACGCGCACTTCACGCACGGTTCGGAGTGTGACGTATGACGTTACCTTGAGGCAGGAGCGCGAGGACGACGCAGATCAGAGCCGCAGAAAGTCCGCGGTTCTTTTGGATCATTGTGAAGAAAAAGAACCGAGAGAATGACTTTAAACACTGAAGCTACAGTCTGTGGTCAGAACCGAGAGGGAGGGGGACGGGGGGGGAGGCAGGAGGGGGAGGGAGGGAGGAGGAGAGAGGGGGGAAGAGGGGGGGAGGGAGGGAGGGAGGGAGGAGGAGAGAGGGGGGAGAGGGGGGGGGGGGGAGGGGAGAGAGAGGGAGGGAGGGAGGGAGGAGGAGAGAGGGGGGAGAGGGGGGGGAGGGGGGGGAGGGGAGGAGAGAGAGGGGGGGAGGGAGGGAGGGAGGAGGAGAGAGGGGGGAGAGGGGGGGAGGGGGGGAGGGGAGAGAGAGGGAGGGAGGGAGGGAGGGAGGGAGGGAGGGAGGGAGGAGTCGTCGTGCGCTCTGTCCCTGTATCTGTACCTTGGGTCTGTTCTGTTTTCCACATTTCAGGATTCTACAGGAGAGAACAAGAGTGCGTGTGAGCGCGTGTGAGCGCGTGTGTGCGCGCGTGTGCGTAACCTTGTATATGAACTGTGCCATAAAAACACAAATTGAACACTTTTTATTGAATCACCTTTATACATAATTGTTATTTACATAAATCCATAACCAACACAAAGTAAATGTGAATAACACTGCCAGATCCAGACGTCTCAAAATACAAACATTTGTCCCGTTTCAGAAGTTTCCTGAACATTTCATTAAAAATAAATAAAAATTAAAGCCGCAAGCGGCGTCGAACGGCCCTCGCCGCACCGCGCGACTCCCTGCACCGCGCGACTCCCTGCACCGCGCGCACTCCCCGCACCGCGCGCACCACCCCGTGCCACGCCGCCCCGCACCAAGCCACCCCGCACCAAGCCACCCCGTCCTACACCACGCAGTCCCGAATCACACCAAGCCGCAACGCGCCGCTCCACAACGCCCTGCACTACGCTGCACCACACCGTACCACGCAGCACCGCGCAAAGGAGGTGGCACTGCTGTGTGATGATTTGTTCCCGTAGTCATAGAAGATTGTTAGTCAAATTGTAATGAATATTATAAGTAGAGCTGGTATGGCTCCCCATGTAAACTTTGCTTCAGTCTGTAGGGGGCGCTAATGGGCCAATTAAAAAAAATTCACATTCACCTGACCTAAACCCTGGAGTTGAACAATGAATTCAAGTTTAATGCAAATCAGACTTTGTTTGTGCAAACGGGAAAAAAAATATTTTTGTCAAAAACGGCCAAAAAAACCCTCACTTTTTGCCGCTGCGCTGCTCAAACAACGTTTCACTGATCAAAATTCCCTGAAGTCATTTTGATGGTACATGTGTTGAGATGATGTGGAGCGATTTTGAGGCGAATCGGTGAAACGGCCGAGGCTGGTTTGATGTTTGTGTGAGGTGTACATTTGCAATGAATGGGGAGCGTTTGTCGTCGCCACGGCAACAGGGTAAAAAATAAGCCTTGGACCCAATTGACTTTTTGAATCAAGAGGGCAAAACAGATGTATGTGCAAAATTTCAAACATTTTGAAAAAAATAAATTTGAAAATGCCCATCTAAAACTTTGAAATAGTCTGTAGGGGGCGCTAATGTGTCAATTTGAATCATTTAACTTTCAAATGACCTAGACCCTAGAGTTGAACAATGTATTAAAGTTTTGTGCAAATCAGACTTTGTTTGTGCAAACGGGAGCAAATTTAATGTTGTCAAAAACGGCCAAAAAAAGGTCACATTTTGCCGCTCCGCTGCTCAAACAATGTTTCACTGATCAAAAATCCCTGAGGTCATTTTGAAGGTACATGTGTTGAGATGATGTGGAGCGATTTTGAGGCGAATCGGTGAAACGGCCGAGGAGGAGTCGCTTTCCAAGCGACATGTATGAAAATTTTTGCTGTTCATTTTTCCATTTTGCAGTGAAATTTATGGGCTTCCTGTTTGTCAGAGGGCGGGGCCATAATTATATTTTTTTCTTGTCTTGACTTGAGGAACATGTGTACCAAATCTCATGTTTCTATGACAAACTTGATCTCCAAAACTCCCATAGGGGTATTATTTTGGCTGTTGTAGGTGGCGCTGTTCCGTCATTTTTTGAGTCCCATAAAAATAAACACCAAAATATCAAATTTTTCGCCAGGTCTGATTTTTGGGCCAAAATTAACAACTTTTCATGCATGTTCAGGGGGTCAAATTAAGGCTCAAAGTGCAGAAGAAAAAAGAAAGAAAGAAAGAAAGAAATAAATAAATTAAAGCCGCAAGCGGCGTCGAACGGCCCTCGCCGCACCGCGCGACTCCCTGCACCGCGCGCACTCCCCGCACCACGCCGCCCCGCACCAAGCCGCCCCGCACCAAGCCGCCCTGCACCAAGCCGCCCTGCACCATGCCGTCCCGCACCACGCCGCCCCGCACCAAGCCGCAATGCGCCGCTCCACACCGTACCACGCAGCACCGCTAAAAGGAGGTGGCACCGCCGTGTGATGATTTGTTTCCGTAGCCAAAGAAGAACTTAGTCAAATTGTAATGAATATGATAAGTAGAGCTGGTTTGGCTCCCCATGTAAACTTTGACACAGTCTGTAGGGGGCGCTAATGGGCCAATTTCCAATATTTCACTTTAACCTGACCTAAACCCTGGAATTGAACAATGGATTAAAGTTTTGTGCAAATCAGACTTTGTTTGTGCAAACAGGAGCAAAATTAATGTTGTCAAAAAGAGCAAAAAAAAACCTCACATTTTGCCGCTCCGCTGCTCAAACAACGTTTAACGGATCAAAATTCCCTGAAGTCAGTTTGAAGGTACATGTGTTGAGATGATGTGGAGCGATTTTGAGGCGAATCAGTGAAACGGCCGAGGCTGGTTTGATGTTTGTGTGAGGTGTACATTTGCAATGAATGGGGAGCGTTTCTCGTCGCCACGGCAACAGGGTAAAAAATAAGCCTTGGACCCTATTGACTTTTTGAATCAAGAGGGAAAAACGGATTCATGTGCAAAATTTCAAACTTTTGAAAAAACTAAATTTGAAAATGCCCATCTAAAACTTTGAAATAGTCTGTAGGGGGCGCTAATGTGTCAATTTGAATTAATTCACCTTCAAACGACTTAGACCGTAGAGTTGAACAATGTATTAAAGTTTTGTGCAAATCAGACTTTGTTTGTGCAAACGGGAGCAAATTTAATGTTGTCAAAAACGGCCAAAATAAGGTCACATTTTTCCGCTCCACTGCTCGAACAATGTTTCACTGATCAAAAATCCCTGAGGTCATTTTGAAGGTACATGTGTTGAGATGATGTGGAGCGATTTTGAGGCGAATCGGTGAAACGGCCGAGGAGGAGTCGCTTTCCAAGCGACATGTATGAAAATGATTGGTTTTCATGTTTCCATTTTGCAATGAAATTTATGAGCTTCCTGTTTGTCAGAGGGCTTAGCCATAATTACATTTTTTCCATGTCTTGACTTGAGGAACATGTGTACCAAATTACATGGTTCTACGGCAATTTTGACCTTGAACTCCTCCCATAGGCATTTTTAAATTGGCTGTTGTAGGTGGCGCTATAGAGCCAATTTCAAAATTTGAACTTTCAATTGACCTAGACTCAAGAGTTGAACCATGGATTCAAGTTTTGTGCCAATCACACTTTGTTTGTGCAAACGGAAAAAAATATTCTATTGTCAAAAACTGAAAAAAAATACGCCACTTTTTGGCGCTCTGCTGCTCAAACAACGTTTCACTGATCAAAATTCCCTGAAGTCATTTTGATGGAACATATGTTGAGATGATGTGGAGCGATTTTGAGGCGAATCGGTGAAACGGCCGAGGCTGGTTTGATGTTTGTGTGAGGTGTACATTTGCAATGAATGGGGAGCGTTTGTCGTCGCCACGGCAACTGGGTTAAAAATAAGCCTTGGACCCAATTGACTTTTTGAATCAAGAGGGCAAAACAGATGTATGTGCAAAATTTCAAACATTTTGAAAAAACTAAATTTGAAAATGCCCATCTAAAACTTTGAAATAGTCTGTAGGGGGCGCTAATGTGTCAATTTGAATACATTCACTTTCAAATGACCTAGACCCTAGAGTTGAACAATGTATTAAAGTTTTGTGCAAATCAGACTTTGTATGTGCAAACGGGAGCAAATTTAATGTTGTCAAAAACGGCCAAAAAAAGGTCACATTTTGCCGCTCCGCTGCTCAAACAATGTTTCACTGATCAAAAATCCCTGAGGTCATTTTGAAGGTACATGTGTTGAGATGATGTGGAGCGATTTTGAGGCGAATCGGTGAAACGGCCGAGGAGGAGTCGCTTTCCAACCGACATGTATGAAAACTTTTGCTGTTCATTTTTCCATTTTGCAGTGAAATTTATGGGCTTCCTGTTTGTCAGAGGGCGGGGCCATAATAATATTTTTTTCTTGTCTTGACTTGAAAAACATGTGTACCAAATCTCATGTTTCTACGACAATTTTGACCTCCGAAAAGTCCCATAGGGGTATTATTTTGGCTGTTGTAGGTGGCGCTGTTCTGTCATTTTTTGAGTCCCATAAAAATAAACACCAAAATATCAAATTTTTCGCCAGGTCTGATTTTTGGGCCAAAATTAACAACTTTTCATGCATGTTCAGGGGGTCAAATTAAGGCTCAAAGTGCAGAAGAAAAAAGAAAGAAATAAATAAATTAAAGCCGCAAGCGGCGTCAAACGGCCCTCGCCGCACCGCGCGACTCCCCGCACCGCGCGCACCACCCCGTTCCACGCCGCCCCGCACCAAGCCACCCCGCACCACGCCGTCCCGCATCACGCCGCCCCGCACAAGCCGCCCCGCACCAAGCCGCCCCGCACCAAGCCGCCCCGCACCAAGCCGCACCAAGCCGCAACGCACCGCTCCACAACGCCCCGCACTACGCCGCACCACACCGTACCACGTAGCACCGCGCATAGGATGTGGCGCCGCCGTGTGATGATTGGTTCCCGTAGCCATAGAAAGAACTTAGTCAAATTGTAATGAATATGATTATTAGAGCTGGTTTGGCTCCCCATGTAAACTTTGAATCAGTCTGTAGGGGGCGCTAATGGGCCAATTTCAAATATTTCACTTTCACCTGACCTAAACCCTGGAGTTGAACAATGGATTCAAGTTTAATGCAAATCAGTCTTTGTTTGTGCAAACGGGGAAAAAATTTATGTTGTCAAAAACAGCCAAAAAACCCTCACATTTTGCCGTTCCGCTTCTCAAACAACGTTTGACTGATTAAAATTCCCTGAAGTAATTATGAAGGTAAATGTGTTGAGATGATTTGGAACAATTTTGAGGCCAATCGGTGAAACGGCCGAGGAGGAGTCGCTTTCCAACCAACGTTTATGAAAATGATTGGTTTTCATGTTTCCATTTTGCAATGAAATTCATGGGCTTCCTGTTTGTCAGGGGGCTTAGCCATAATAACATTTTTCCCATGTCTTGACTTAAGGAACATGTGTTCCAAATTACATGGTTCTACGACAATTTTGACCTCAAACCCCTCCCATAGGCATTTTTAATATGGCTGTTGTAGGTGGCGCTATAGAGCCAATTTCAGAATTTTAACTTTCAAATGACCTAGACCCAAGAGTTGAACCATGGATTCAAGTTTTGTGCAAATCAGACTTTGTTTGTGCAAACGGAAGCAATTTTTCTATGGTCAAAAACTGAAAAAAAATACGCCACTTTTTGGCGCTCCGCTGCTCAAACAACGTTTCACTGATCAAAATTCCCTGAAGTCATTTTGATGGTACATGTGTTGAGATGATGTGGAGCGATTTTGAGGCGAATCGGTGAAACGGCCGAGGCTGGTTTGATGTTTGTGTGAGGTGTATATTTGCAATGAATGGGGAGCGTTTGTCGTCGCCACGGCAACAGGGTAAAAAATAAGCCTTGGACCCAATTGACTTTTTGAATCAAGAGGGCAAAACAGATGTATGTGCAAAATTTCAAACATTTTGAAAAAACTAAATTTGAAAATGCCCATTTAAAACTTTGAAATAGTCTGTAGGGGGCGCTAATGTGTCAATTTGAATCATTTAACTTTCAAATGACCTAGACCCTAGAGTTGAACAATGTATTAAAGTTTTGTGAAAATCAGACTTTGTTTGTGCAAACGGGAGCAAATTTAATGTTGTCAAAAACGGCCAAAAAAGGTCACATTTTGCCGCTCCGCTGCTCGAACAATGTTTCACTGATCAAAAATCCCCGAGGTCATTTTGAAGGTACATGTGTTGAGATGATGTGGAGCGATTTTGAGGCGAATCGGTGAAACGGCCGAGGAGGAGTCGCTTTCCAACCGACATGTATGAAAACTTTTGCTGTTCATTTTTCCATTTTGCAGTGACATTTATGGGCTTCCTGTTTGTCAGAGGGCGGAGCCATAATAATATTTTTTTCTTGTCTTGACTTGAGGAACATGTGTACCGAATTTCATGACTCTACAACAAACTTCATCTTCAGAACTCCCATAGGGGTATTATTTTGGCTGTTGTAGGTGGCGCTGTTCTGGCATTTTTTGAGTCCCATTAAAATAAACACCAAAATATCAAATTTTTCGCCAGGTCTGATTTTTGGGCAAAATTTAACAACTTTTCATGCATATTCAGGGGGTCAAATTAAGGCTCAAAGTGCAGAAGAAAAAAGAAAGAAAGAAAGAAAGAAAGAAAGAAATTAAAGCCGCAAGCGGCGTCGAACGGCCCTCGCCGCACCGCGCGACTCCCCGCACCTTCCCCCATAAACAATTGCTGCGCCTATCCCCACAATAACTAAAACAACACCCAATCCTATACAACTCCTTACGCCCAACGTATGACGCTAAACTAATTCTGTTCATATGTATATAATCCAACATGTAAATCTATAACAATCTATCACAGTCATATAACCCAGACTACCCCTTAATGTCCCCCCCGTATCATGTTACACCTCATATTGTATCACATATTTTCACTCTATATTAACTCAAATACATACATCTGTCACTACAACTCACCATCCTCTCTGTACCTCTCTCCCACACTCCCCCCCATCACAATACTTCCCCCCATTCACACCCAACTCCCCGCCCCCCCCCCACACCCCCCCCCCCCCCCCCAACCCCCACTACCCCCCCCCCCCCGCACCCAACCTTACTATACAATCTGTCATTTTACATCCCTACACTCAACTGACCCATCCCTCTATAATACCCTACTTTGTAATGTACTACAACTCTACTAAATCTTAATAATTGTGTGGCGCTCTGATCATCCCCACTACAACACCCCGTCACACCTGTCCCAAACCATACCACCCCCCTACATTTTCTCCACCTCTCCCACCCCCCCCTTTTTGTTTTTTTTTTCCCCCCCCCCCCCCCCCCCCCCCCCCCCCCCCTTTTTCTAATTTGTCTTGTTCTCTACAATACTTTTACCAGTCCTTGCTCTCCTCCACAGTCCTATGATGACTCTACACTTAGTGACTTGTACCATCGTCTTGCACTCTCATTCTAGAGCAGCTACGTGACTTTGCTAGCTCATGAAGTCGTTGCGCTATAGTGCTCTGAGACGCTGTATTACAGAATGCCTATGTGTCATGACAAGTAACTCGCAATATGTGTAAAATTTCTGCACCTACCATTTATCAGTGTGCTCTGTCTGCCTCTCTCTTTAATCCTGTCTACCTTTCCTTGTCTTTACATATAATCACACTACATTATGTTCCCAGTCAAAGTCCGACACCTTATGTCTGCACCCTCTACCTAATACACGCTCCTTGTATGTCCTTACATGATAGCATACTAATCACTACTAACTCCCATTTAATGTGCTACAATAATCTTTAGTGTATATGATTACACTACAAACTAGACTAGACTAAAAGTTAAATCTCATACACTCCGTATCCTCCCCATAATCACATTCCAACACAGTAAACTAAACATTCCACCATGATAACGTGTATCCAGACTAACGTCACTGTGCATTGATGTGTCTAACTCATTCCCTAGAAAACTACTGATGGAGTAATCAAGATCAGAGAATCGGAACTTTTAGAGAAGAAGAATGATTTAAGTAATTCAATTACATTCACAGATAAGTTACAAAGATATATGATGTAATAAGTTAAATTACATTATTCCCAGCCCACATTCTCACTCCCCCCCCGCTCTCCCTACACAGAAACACCCCCCCCCTACCCACCACCCTTTCCCCCTGTCCGCCCCCTCCCCCACTACCTAACTTCACCCCACATCCACCTTTCAAAATCCCCATATGACATACCAATCCCACTAATCCCATACTGCCCTATCCCACTCCACCTCCATCAATATCAATCTGTCCACCTCCTAATGTCTCCATCTGTCACTTTCTAACTCTCCCTCACCATCTAATACCCCACTGACTCGCTGTACCCCACAAAACCAAACCCCTCCTCATATAACCCCCCCATCCACTCCCCACACACGCCTTCACCACATATAATTAAACTCATCAATAACTTTACGCCTCCAACACCTTGTTCTACACGTGCCCCCACGCCCCACCCCAACTCATACTTACCTTATATTAATTTTATCAACTGACCTAGACTTCACCACTACCTAAATTCCCCTCCCCCCATCCTCACCCTTCATATCACATATCCCCCCTCCCGCCACCTCTCACTACCCCAAGACATACTCTATTCTCCCACATAGACTCCTCATCCATTCTTAACTCATCACACATCATCCTCGGTCTCCTTCTCACCCACCAACTTCCCTCACCACTAAACCAACACTTCCTCACCATCTACTATCACATCTCTGTCTCCTACTCCATTTATCACCCATCCTATTCCACCCCTGTCCACCTCTAAACCTATCTGCCACTCCTCTCCACCCCCCCCTCTTCCAGTCCCCTCCTCCCAGACTACCTCTTCCTACATATTTTCACTCCACTCACTCATTCATTGTCATAAACCAATCCCCCCCCCCCCCCCCCCCCCCCCCCCCCACCCCCCTCCCCCCCCCCCCCCCTCCCCCCATATAGACTCCACACCCACTGTGTCACTACTTCACAGACCCCCTCACACCCCCCCCCACCCTATCCATTCACTACTCCACCCCCCACCACACCCACCATATTTCCCACCACCCACCCTCTAACACTTTAATCCCCTACAGTTGTCTACCCTCTCATTCTTTACTTCACCCTATCCCACAACCCCTCATCTCCACATAACACTCTGTCCAAATCCACCAAAATAGATCCACTACCCACATACCAAACACCCCCTCATCATATCAACCAATATACCCCCCCTCTACACCCCTGAGTACATCATTAACACCCTACCTCCCCTATACCTCGTGTCACATCCCCCCCATCTCCATCACACTCTTCCCCCCCACTAACACCTAATGTAGTTCTCCCACACATCATTCTATAGTCCATCCCCGCTCCTACACCACCAATCACCCCCTCACCTCCCTGCATCTGTCCCCCCACACCTCTCTATCCCACCCACCCTCCCCCCCCCCCCCCTACTTACATACACACCTCTACCCTCCATCCTCCTAATTACCCCACCCCTATACTCCACCTCCCACCATTTTCACTCATAATACCACAACCAAACACACCACCCCCCCCCCCCACCCCACCACACCACCCACCCCACACCACAACCCACACCATCCCACAACCCACACCACACCACACCACCCCCCCAACCCCCCCACCCCCCCACCCACCACCCACCACACACCCCCCCCCCCCCCACCCCCCACCCCCCCCCCCCACCCCCCCCCCCCCCCCCCCACCCCCCAACCCAACCCCCCACCCACCCCCCAACACCACCACCCCAACCCCCCCACACCACCCACCAACAACCCACCCCCACCCACCCCCAACCCCCCCCCCCCCCCCCCCCCCCCCCACCCCCCCCCCACCCCCCCCACCCATCCCCCCCCCCCCCCCCAACCCCCCCCCCCCCCAACCCCACCCCCCCCCCCCCCCCCCACCTCCCCCCCCCCCCCCCCCCCTCCCCCCACCCCCCCCCCCCCCCCAAACCCCACCCCCCCCCACCACCCCCCCACCCCACCCCCCCCCCCCCCCCCCACCCACCCCCAACCCCAATAAACAATCCCCCCCCCCCCCCCCCCCCCCCCCCCCCCCCCCCCCCCCCCCCCCCCCCCCCCCCCCCCCCCCCCCCCTCCAAAAACATAGTGTACCTAATCCCCCCAATAAAAACCCCCCCCCCCCATACCCCCCCACTCAACCCCCTCCTAAACCCACTCTATTGTGAACCCCTCATGAAACCCCCCCCAACTCCATCACCCCCACCCCCCACGCAATTCTCCCCTCAATACATAACCACCCCCAAAACCTCCCATCCCCACCTCCTCCTACCCCTACCAATCTAGACCACCATCACCACCCCAATCCCCTATTCAGTGTAAAATCCTACATGTATATATATATAATTTAGATACAAACAAACCCATCAACCCGTACACACCCACCCAAACACCCACCAAACAAATCCTACCACACAATACCACCACAAAACACCCCCACACCAACCCCCCAAAACACCAAAATATAACTATCCCCTCTCCCACAAACCCCACCCCCCCCACACACCCCCCCCCACCAACAACCCACCAAACAAAACCCCAACCACCCCCCCCCCCCCCCCCCCCCCCCCCCCCCCCCCCCCCACTCCCCTCTCTCCCCAACCCCCCTTCCTCAAACTAACACACCCCTACCTACCAAATAAACCCCCCACCCCCATACCCCCCCCCCCCCCCCCCCCTTCCTATCCCCCTCCCACTCTCTATCACCCCCCCCCCCATTTTCCCCCCCAACTTCTCCATCCAATTTAAACCAAATACCCCCTACCACATTCTTCCCCCCCCCCCCCCCCAAAACCCCCTCATCCCCCTCACCACCCCACACACCTACCGCCCACCTCATGTCTATGATATATATATCCCTCCCGACCCACAAGCCCCTCCCCCCCCCCCCCCTTATTGCCCCCACCCCCCCGCGCCCCCCCCCCCCGCCCCACTTTGACACCCCCCCCCTATCAGTCCCCACTCCCACCTCCGTATTTGCGTTACAGAAATCCGCCATGCTTCGGATGCTATTGAGGGTGATATTCTTATTGGTTTTAATATTAGTAAAATAATTTCCATTTTACTTAAAACAAAAACAATATACCCCACAAAATACGTTTTGTGTGTGTATTTACTAAATTTTGAAAAAAACTATTGTTGGCAGTGCAGTGCTTCTTAAATTGACCTATCAATAAGTGTGTTCAGACAAAGTTAGTGTATTCTACTGGGCGGGAGTTGCTTCCGGTTCGGACCGTTTCCGCGAGCTTGTTGTTGGTGATGGGCGCAGCAGGCTTGGACACGGTCGTGTGGTTTCCGGTGAGATCCAACTCAAAGTACGATTTTTTAAATATATGGTGCTTTCTCTGTAAGGTTTGTCGCGTATTTGATCAGAATATATACAATCTGTGGTCAAATCGTCGTTTTATTTCTTGGCGTTCGTGTCCAAAATTACTTCATGTTAGCTAACTGTCTACTATAGCCCCAAAACATGTTGTTAGCATAAAACTGTGCCAGTATAATGGTCCTACAATTTCGTTGTTTAGCAAAGTGAATTTGTGTTTTAAGACTCCGAACATTACCAACTACCCCTTAAATGTTCTGCACCATAATAACAGGCGTAGTTTTCGCAGTTTGGGTTGCTAGCTTCTCGCTAGCGGTTGCTAAACGGTAAGCAGTTACATAAGGAGACCAAAGTCGCTACTTTGTCCTGCTCTGTCTTGTTGCAGGAGGTGCAAGTTGGAGGAAAATACAGGTTGGCAACAGAAGCACGTGGAATCATTTATTTAATCTGTCTAGTATTTTTACTCTTGGGGACAGTTTCATTTCCCCGCAGTAAAGTACTAGTTACATTAGCTCAGCCGGTGCAACCCTCTCAAGGGAGGAGACAGGAGCAGCGCTTGGTGCGGAGGCAGAAAACATGTTTATTGTATCTGAGATCGCTCTTGATTTCCTCGCGGTCAGAAAGTAGCTGGTGTCAGCAAGAAAAACTATCGTTAGTTAACAGCGACCTGCATGTTGTTAATGTTATGACCCGTCCGCATCGCATCACTGTATTATATCAAGGACTGTCTGTTTTAGCCAAGGGTGCTGCTTTGGTAGTTATGTAAGTTCAAATAAATTCAGAAATCTGCAGCACTTTTAAAAAAACCAACAAAGTATAAAGTGATACATTATTACATGCATTTTTAAACGTTAGTTTAACGTTTCTTTTTTATGGTAGTTGTTTCCTTTTTAGAGATATTGTATATCACATTGGAATCTGTTTTATATATAATATATATATATATATATATATATTTATTTATTTATATGTGTATTTGATCAGACTCCCTCTAATCAACTTCAGAATTTGAATGAGACGTAAACGATAGAACATGATTAAAACCAAAGTCCTTCAAGAAAGTTTTAGAAATTTTTAAATAAAAAGGTCTATCTATCTTTTTACTTTTTTGTTGTTGTTAAAACTGGAGTGGTAGGAAAAATGGTACAGAGTTCTGTTGGAAGATAAAAATATTAATGCTTCAAATGTAATATTGAATATTATTAGTTACATTTATGTGGACATATTGAAAAATAAATGTTGACGTTGGGAAAAAAGCTTTAAAAGGTTTTATTTTTAGAACACAAGCAATTGGTATAAATGGTTATTTTAAAAGTTCATGTAATTTTTTTATCAGAGCTGAATTCTTGAAATATAGTTTTATGAGTTTTCTGAGGTTTTTGAAGTACCGAGGTTGACAGTATTGAGTTATGATGTTATGTTGCTGTTTATCGATCCTGAGGTCACCACGTGAATGTGTGAACCAGGAGGGGGGAATGTGAGTTTTCATAACACTTTTAAGCAACTTTTGTTTAAAGTTAAAAACTCCATTCTATCATGTGCAGAAGCACTGTACTTTTCCACTTCATGTTTTGTCTATCTGAAGGCCAAGCTACAAGTACAACGTTGGGAAGCTGCTGATTGGAGGTCTCCATTGCCTACGCTCTGAATAATACACGTGCATTTGTTGTATCTGGGTGTTCGTGCTGTCTCTACCATCGACAATAAAACATGTTTCTGTCTGAATTTAGAGACGGCGATCCTGACGTGGCACATCTTCGTCAGGTGTGGAAAGGATGCGGGGGCCATGTGTCTGTAACATCTAGTGAACAGAAGACATTTGCATGTAAATGATGTTGAATGACGAAAACAACAGGGGGCTAGGGTGGGCTTTGTTTATTCGTTGGGGCGAGGAAGGCCCTAGTCCCAATACCACACTGGCACCTCGCCCTCCTATGAAGTGGGCTCTATCTGGTCAGTTTTTATACATTCTAAGATTATTTTACAAAGTGTAAAGTTTAAATTAAACACAATGTCCGTAAATCTTCATCAGACGTTTATGCTTCTTTCCAAGTAACATAGCAAAACTTATTTACACACATACAGCATATATATTTCAAAATTTATATTTAAATGTATTTTCTCGACGTTTTGGTGTGTACCGCAAAGAATTATGGGCAATATCCTTCGCCAGAGTGTGCATAGATGCAGGCTACGGCGAAGTGTGGATCAGGGGCGCAAAGGGGGCGGGGCCAAAGACCTCCCCGGAGGATTGGGACACCCTACGCACTCGCACCCTTTATCGGGAACGCGCAAATGAGGGGCGCGAGGGTGGAAGTGCGAGTATTGGGACGGGGCCTGAGACACGTGAGGGCAGGAAACAGGAAGTACAACTAACAAATGTAAAAACAAAACAGGGTTATAGTTAAAACTCTGACAGTATCAAGTTGTACAGACATGTCAAACTCAGGCCCGTGGGCCATATCCGGCTGCAAAACCATTTAGCGTGGCCCCTAACATTATTTTTAATTATCATTATTGATTTGCAGCTTTGACGGTGTATGTTATACATCATCTATTTACGCAAAAAAATAATTTATTCAAAAATTTTAATCCAACAAATCATTAGAAGTGAAATAGTTACAGAAAAAAACAATGTGTTTAACTTTATATTTGGTCCAGTTTTGGTTCAATCTAAACACATTTAGTTTTTCGATAAATCAACAAGAAAATAATGAAATGTTAGAGTCAAAATAATTTTATAAACTAAGAAATGATATTGTTTTTTTAAATTATGAAAGTATTTCAAACTAAGAAATTATATTGTGGGCGACAGTAGCTCAGTTGGTAGAGCATTGGCCTTCAGGCCTGAAGGTTGTGGGTTCAATTCCCACCTCTGCACCTTCTCCATCGACTCCCACTGATGACTGCTGTCGTTGTGTCCTTGGGCAAGACACTTAACCCCACTTTGCCCAAAGCCCCCACTGAAAGATCAAGGCTATGCTCACAGTCAGAGAGCAGCCGTCCTCCTGTGGACTCACCACCTGCAGAGGGTCAGTGAGGGGCTGGTGCTATGAGACTTGACCCCTGACCCAGAAATGGATTAAAGGGAAGAACATGGATGGATGAAATGATATTACCATTTTTTCACACAGACACACACACACATATACACACATACACACACACACACACAGACACACACACACACACACATATACACACATACACACACACACACACAGACACACACACACACACAGACAGACACACACACACACACTCACACACAGACACACACACACACACACACAGACACACACACAGACACACACACACACACTCACACACAGACACACACAGACACACTCACACACAGACACACACACACACAGACACACATACACACACACACACACACACTCTGAATCACATTGCAGCCTCAGCTCGTCTCTTTCAAACCGCTGCAGCCTCAGCTTCCAGAAACAACAGAGGGATCGGAGCGGAGCAGCCGACCCCTCACTCGTCCTGGTCCCTCTGCCTCGCACACCCTCACCCCTCACCCCTCACCCTCACCATGGCCCCCCAGCTCTGGTCCAAAGGGTCACGTGGCCCCGGTCCGGCTCCAGTGCGTGGCTTGTAAAGGATTTTGCTCCATCGACAGAAAGCGGAGGGATAACTTTTGGACTCCAGCCTCGGGCGCTCTCTTTGACACTGGGCGAGCTGCAGGCCTCACTCCCATCGCTCTGTCCTCCAGGAGAGAGACTTAAGAAGAGGGTTGGATAATCCTCACCACTTCAGGTAAGACTGGGACTATTAAAGCTGGGGTACACAACTTTTAACACTCACACAAACAGAAAATACTATGAAATAGTAAAAATCCAATTAATTAAAGCTCTAAAACGTTTTGTTTTTACCATAATATCTTATCTTTAGATCAGGTCTGGTCTGGTCTGGGTCTGGTATTGGTCTGTGTCTGGTCTGGTCTTGGCCCGGTCCACATCTGGTCTTGGTTTCTGTCTGGTCCGGATCTCAGGCTGGGCTTTGTGTTTTTCATGGTCATGGTCATGGTCATGGTCATGGTCTCTAGGTCTGGGTCTTGGTCTGATGGATTCACCAAACGTTTCTTTTACTGATTTTTACTTCTGTTTGGACAAATACGATGCAGTGCATGAAGAAGTTACGAACCCCAGCTTTAAAAGCTGCTGTGGTTCAGGACAGACCAGGACAGACCAGGACAGACCAGGACAGACCAGGACAGACCAGGACAGACCAGGACAGACCAGGAGGAGACCAGGACAGACCAGGACAGACCAGGACAGACCAGGTGGAGACCAGGACAGACCAGGAGGAGACCAGGACAGACCAGGAGGAGACCAGGACAGACCAGGAGGAGACCAGGACAGACCAGGAGGAGACCAGGACAGACCAGGAGGAGACCAGGACAGACCAGGACAGACCAGGACAGACCAGGAGGAGACCGTTCTGAGGATTTCAGTTTGAGGCGTTAGTTTAGACGACTTATTGATTCTGTGATTATTACTATTTATTATAACTTCTATAACATGTATACACTGTAAAAAAGGACGTCATATGAGGTCAAACAAAAACATTTAATGATTAATAAATAATGTGCTCAGATTAAGATTGAAATTAAGAAATTTGAGCAATGTTTTACTTATTTTTCATCACTTTTTACAGTGTACAAACATAACAAACGTAAATTGTGGTGAAATGTGTCTGATATTTGTCATTATTGTCTAAAAAATAACAAAACATCACCTTTAAAAAGTAATATCATATTTGATATTGTATTTATTGTTTTATTGATATATAATAATTATTTCAGTAAATACACATGTTCTTCATCCTCACTGGTCGCTCTGAGCATCGGCCTTTGAGCCTCTCTCCCTGAAGGGGGCGCTTCACCCTCTCTCCCTGAAGGGGGCGATTCACCCTCTCTCCCTGAAGGGGTCGCTTCACCCTCTCTCCCTGAAGGGGGCGATTCACCCTCTCTCCCTGAAGGGGGCGATTCACCCTCTCTCCCTGAAGGGGGCGATTCACCCTCTCTCCCTGAAGGGGTCGCTTCACCCTCTCTCCCTGAAGGGGGCGCTTCACCCTCTCTCCCTGAAGGGGGCGCTTCACCCTCTCTCCCTGAAGGGGGCGCTTCAACCTCTCTCCCTGAAGGGGGCGCTTCACCCTCTCTCCCTGAAGGGGGCGCGTCACCCTCTCTCCCTGAAGGGGGCGCTTCACCCTCTCTCCCTGAAGGGGGCGATTCACCCTCTCTCCCTGAAGGGGGCGATTCACCCTCTCTCCCTGAAGGGGGCGATTCAACCTCTCTCCCTGAAGGGGTCGCTTCACCCTCTCTCCCTGAAGGGGGCGCTTCACCCTCTCTCCCTGAAGGGGGCGCTTCACCCTCTCTCCCTGAAGGGGGCGCTTCAACCTCTCTCCCTGAAGGGGGCGCTTCACCCTCTCTCCCTGAAGGGGGCGATTCACCCTCTCTCCCTGAAGGGGGCGAATCACCCTCTCTCCCTGAAGGGGGCGATTCACCCTCTCTCCCTGAAGGGGGCGATTCACCCTCTCTCCCTGAAGGGGGCGATTCACCCTCTCTCCCTGAAGGGGTCGCTTCACCCTCTCTCCCTGAAGGGGGCGATTCACCCTCTCTCCCTGAAGGGGGCGCTTCACCCTCTCTCCCTGAAGGGGGCGCTTCACCCTCTCTCCCTGAAGGGGGCGCTTCACCCTCTCTCCCTGAAGGGGGCGATTCACCCTCTCTCCCTGAAGGGGGCGATTCACCCTCTCTCCCTGAAGGGGGCGCTTCACCCTCTCTCCCTGAAGGGGGCGATTCACCCTCTCTCCCTGAAGGGGGCGCTTCACCCTCTCTCCCTGAAGGGGGCGCTTCACCCTCTCTCCCTGAAGGGGGCGCTTCACCCTCTCTCCCTGAAGGGGGCGCTTCACCCTCTCTCCCTGAAGGGGGCGATTCACCCTCTCTCCCTGAAGGGGGCGATTCACCCTCTCTCCCTGAAGGGGGGAATTCACCCTCTCTCCCTGAAGGGGGCGATTCACCCTCTCTCCCTGAAGGGGGGGATTCACCCTCTCTCCCTGAAGGGGGCGCTTCACCCTCTCTCCCTGAAGGGGGCGCTTCACTCTCTCTCCCTGAAGGGGGCGCTTCACCCTCTCTCCCTGAAGGGGGGGATTCACCCTCTCTCCCTGAAGGGGGCGCTTCATCCTCTCTCCCTGAAGGGGGCGCTTCACTCTCTCTCCCTGAAGGGGGCGCTTCACCCTCTCTCCCTGAAGGGGGGGATTCACCCTCTCTCCCTGAAGGGGGGGATTCACCCTCTCTCCCTGAAGGGGGCGCTTCACCCTCTCTCCCTGAAGGGGGCGCTTCACCCTCTCTCCCTGAAGGGGGCGCTTCACCCTCTCTCCCTGAAGGGGGCGCTTCACTCTCTCTCCCTGAAGGGGGCGATTCACCCTCTCTCCCTGAAGGGGGCGCTGAAGACACTTAACCCACTTTGCTGGAACTGGTAAAAACCATGTGGGCTGTACCATAGACAGTGATGAGCTGGAGGCAGTGTGATTATTATATTATTAACTATTATTATACTTTTACTTTCAGTTGTGTTTGTCTCCTCCTCCTCCTCCTCCTCTTCCTCCTCCTCCTCCTCCTCCTCCTCCTCCTCTTCCTCCTCCTCCTCCTCCTCCTCCTCCTCCGCTTTCTCCTCCTCTTCCTCCTCCTCCTCCGCTTTCTCCTCCTCCTCCTCCTCCTCCTCCTCCTCCTCTTCCTCCTCCTCCTCCTCCTCTTCCTCCTCCTCCTCCTCTTCCTCCTCCTCCTCCGCTTTCTCCTCCTCTTCCTCCTCCTCCTCCTCCTCCTCCTCCTCTTCCTCCTCCTCCTCTGCTTTCTCCTCCTCCTCCTCCTCCTCCTCCTCCTCTTCCTCCTGGTTGTTTTAGTCCCATTGTAACACAACCTCCTCCTCTTCAGATACAGAGATATGTTTATACACTGTTGTAGTACAACCCTCTCCTCTCTCCTTTCTCCTCTCTCCTCCTGTCTCCATGACAACCCTCTCCTCTCTCCTCTCTCCTCCTGTCCCCATGATAAGCCTCTCCTCTCTCCTCTCTCCTCCTGTCTCCATGACAACCCTCTCCTCTCTCCTTTCTCCTCCTGTCTCCATGATAACCCTCTCCTCTCTCCTCTCTCCTCCTGTCCCCATGATAACCCTCTCCTCTCTCCTCTCTCCTCCTGTCCCCATGATAACCCTCTCCTCTCTCCTCCTGTCCCCATGATAACCCTCTCCTCTCTCCTCTCTCCTCCTGTCTCCATGATAATCCTCTCCTCTCTCCTCCTGGCCCCATGATAACCCTCTCCTCTCTCCTCTCTCCTCCTGTCTCCATGATAACCCTCTCCTCTCTCCTCCTGGCCCCATGGTAACCCTCTCCTCTCTCCTCTCTCCTCCTGTCTCCATGATAACCCTCTCCTCTCTCCTCCTGGCCCCATGATAACCCTCTCCTCTCTCCTCCTGGCCCCATGATAACCCTCTCCTCTCTCCTCTCTCCTCCTGTCCCCATGATAACCCTCTCCTCTCTCCTCCTGTCTCCATGATAAGCCTCTCTCCTCTCTTCTCTCTCCTCCTGTCCCCATGGTAACCCTCTCCTCTCTTCTCTCTCCTCCTGTCCCCATGATAACCCTCTCCTCTCTCCTCCTGTCTCCATGATAACCCTCTCCTCTCTCCTCTCTCCTCCTGTCCCCATGGTAACCCTCTCCTCTCTTCTCTCTCCTCCTGTCCCCATGGTAACCCTCTCCTCTCTTCTCTCTCCTCCTGTCCCCATGGTAACCCTCTCCTCTCTTCTCTCTCCTCCTGTCCCCATGATAACCCTCTCCTCTCTCCTCCTGTCCCCATGATAACCCTCTCCTCTCTCCTCTCTCCTCCTGTCTCCATGATAACCCTCTCCTCTCTCCTCCTGTCCCCATGGTAACCCTCTCCTCTCTTCTCTCTCCTCCTGTCCCCATGATAACCCTCTCCTCTCTCCTCCTGTCTCCATGATAACCCTCTCCTCTCTCCTCCTGTCCCCATGGTAACCCTCTCCTCTCTTCTCTCTCCTCCTGTCCCCATGATAACCCTCTCCTCTCTCCTCCTGTCTCCATGATAACCCTCTCCTCTCTCCTCTCTCCTCCTGTCCCCATGGTAACCCTCTCCTCTCTTCTCTCTCCTCCTGTCCCCATGGTAACCCTCTCCTCTCTTCTCTCTCCTCCTGTCCCCATGATAACCCTCTCCTCTCTCCTCCTGGCCAGGGCAGCGTACCTCATCGTCAGTCCTTGCGTCACTCATGATGTACAGCTTCATGGGGGGGGGCCTGTTCTGTGCCGTCGTGGGGAACATCCTCCTGGTGGTGTCCACAGCCACTGACTTCTGGATGCAGTACCGTCTGTCGGGCAGCGTCGCCCACCAAGGCCTGTGGCGGTACTGCATGTCGGGCAAGTGCTACATGCAGACGGACAGCATCGGTGAGTGTAGACCCAGGACTGAGGCTGTAGACCCAGGACTGAGGCTGTAGACCCAGGACTGAGGCTGTAGACCCAGGACTGAGGCTGTAGACCCAGGACTGAGGCTGTAGACCCAGGACTGAGGCTGTAGACCCAGGACTGAGGCTGTAGACCCAGGACTGAGGCTGTAGACCCAGGACTGAGGCTGTAGACCCAGGACTGAGGCTGTAGACCAGGACTGAGGCTGTAGACCCAGGACTGAGGCTGTAGACCCAGGACTGAGGCTGTAGACCCAGGACTGAGGCTGTAGACCAGGACTGAGGCTGTAGACCCAGGACTGAGGCTGTAGACCCAGGACTGAGGCTGTAGACCCAGGACTGAGGCTGTAGACCAGGACTGAGGCTGCAGACCCAGGACTGTGTTAGCATAGGGGACCCAGGCAGGAGGGGAGGTGTGGCCAACAGGATCTGGGACCAGCGACCTCTACAGGTCTAGACTGAGAAGTCCGGGTCCTAGGTTCCCATCACTGAGCCACGAACCAGACAATGGGAAACCAGGTGAATAGCAATGAACAGACTACTGGTGAAGACATATTGGTGACAGGTGGAATAGGTCTGAGAGAAACGCCCTGTGCTCTTCCTTCAGTGTAAATGTCCTTGATGTCTGGGGGTCAATGGACGAGCTCTAAAACATCGACAAATGGCGTAAAGTGATTAATTAAACTATTTTTAAAAGCAGCAAAAAGCAACGTCTTATTGTTCTGTAACTGGAGCTTCTGCCCAAACATTGTAAAGTGAATTGGAGCATATGGACCTGAGCCTCGGAGAGACACATCAGGAGCTATTATCCACGTTTAAAATTAATTAATACACACTGAACATAATTGGCTTGTCAGACCTCATTAGCTCAGCAGCGAGGGGCCTGGTTAGTGCTGTGATGGGAGCCCGCTGGGAAAAGCTGCAGTGTGTGTGTGTGTGTCTGTTTGTGTGTGTGTGTGTGTGTGTGTGTGTGTGTGTGTGTGTGTGTGTGTGTGCGTGTGTGTGTGTGTGTGTGCGTGTGCGTGTGCGTGTGCGTGTGTGTAGTACTGAAATAACAATGTAAACTATAAAGTGACAGTTGCATTCCCAGTTACACAAATGAACAATATCTCCATACTAAAATAAAATAAAATCTCTAGCTTTAGCATAATAAAGAAGCTAGTCTGAAGTCTAGCTTTAGCATAATAAAGAAGCTAGTCTGAAGTCTAGCTTTAGCATAATAAAGAAGCTAGTATAAATCTAGCTTTAGCATAATAAAGAAGCTAGTATAAATCTAGCTTTAGCATAATAAAGAAGCTAGTATAAATCTAGCTTTAGCATAATAAAGAAGCTAGTATAAAACTAGCTTTAGCATAATAAAGAAGCTAGCATAAATCTAGCTTTAGCATAATAAAGAAGCTAGTATAAAACTAGCTTTAGCATAATAAAGAAGCTAGCATAAATCTAGCTTTAGCATAATAAAGAAGCTAGTATAAAACTAGCTTTAGCATAATAAAGAAGCTAGCATAAATCTAGCTTTAGCATAATAAAGAAGCTAGCATAAATCTAGCTTTAGCATAATAAAGAAGCTAGCATAAATCTAGCTTTAGCATAATAAAGAAGCTAGTATAAAATCTAGCTTTAGCATAATAAAGAAGCTAGTATAAAACTAGCTTTAGCATAATAAAGAAGCTAGTATAAAATCTAGCTTTAGCATAATAAAGAAGCTAGTATAAAATCTAGCTTTAGCATAATAAAGAAGCTAGTATAAATCTAGCTTTAGCATAATAAAGAAGCTAGTATAAAATCTAGCTTTAGCATAATAAAGAAGCTAGTATAAAACTAGCTTTAGCATAATAAAGAAGCTAGTATAAAATCTAGCTTTAGCATAATAAAGAAGCTAGTATAAAATCTAGCTTTAGCATAATAAAGAAGCTAGTATAAAACTAGCTTTAGCATAATAAAGAAGCTAGTATAAAATCTAGCTTTAGCATAATAAAGAAGCTAGTATAAATCTAGCTTTAGCATAATAAAGAAGCTAGTATAAAATCTAGCTTTAGCATAATAAAGAAGCTAGTATAAAACTAGCTTTAGCATAATAAAGAAGCTAGTATAAAATCTAGCTTTAGCATAATAAAGAAGCTAGTATAAATCTAGCTTTAGCATAATAAAGAAGCTAGTATAAAATCTCTAGCTTTAGCATAATAAAGAAGCTAGTATAAAGTCTAGCTTTAGCATAATAAAGAAGCTAGTATAAATCTAGCTTTAGCATAATAAAGAAGCTAGTATAAATCTAGCTTTAGCATAATAAAGAAGCTAGTATAAATCTAGCTTTAGCATAATAAAGAAGCTAGTATAAAATCTAGCTTTAGCATAATAAAGAAGCTAGTATAAAATCTAGCTTTAGCATAATAAAGAAGCTAGTATAAAATCTAGCTTTAGCATAATAAAGAAGCTAGTATAAATCTAGCTTTAGCATAATAAAGAAGCTAGTATAAATCTAGCTTTAGCATAATAAAGAAGCTAGTATAAATCTAGCTTTAGCATAATAAAGAAGCTAGCATAAAATCTCTAGCTTTAGCATAATAAAGAAGCTAGTATAAAATCTCTAGCTTTAGCATAATAAAGAAGCTAGTATAACATCTAGCTTTAGCATAATAAAGAAGCTAGTATAAAATCTAGCTTTAGCATAATAAAGAAGCTAGTATAACATCTAGCTTTAGCATAATAAAGAAGCTAGCATAAATCTAGCTTTAGCATAATAAAGAAGCTAGTATAACATCTAGCTTTAGCATAATAAAGAAGCTAGCATAAATCTAGCTTTAGCATAATAAAGAAGCTAGCATAAATCTAGCTTTAGCATAATAAAGAAGCTAGCATAAAATCTCTAGCTTTAGCATAATAAAGAAGCTAGCATAAATCTAGCTTTAGCATAATAAAGAAGCTAGTATAAAATCTCTAACTTTTGCATAATAAAGAAGCTAGTATAAATCTAGCTTTAGCATAATAAAGAAGCTAGTATAAAATCTCTAACTTTTGCATAATAAAGAAGCTAGTATAAATCTATCTTTAGCATAATAAAGAAGCTAGTCTGGAGTCTCTGTGGTTCAGGATGAAGGTGCAGATACTGACGTCTCTGACCGTCTCTGTGACCACAGCGTACTGGAACGCCACTCGCGCCTTCATGATCCTGTCGGCCATGTCGTGCTTCGCCGGGATCATCGCCGGGATCCTGTCCTTCGCCCATTTCTCCGCCTTCGAGAGATTCAACCGCTCCTTCGCCGCTGGCATCATGTTCTTTGTTTCCAGTGAGTGTTTAAAGCAGTTAAAACAGTTTAAACTTCAGGATTCAGACGTTTGGACTGAAAGATAACACACGAGAACAAAGTGGCTCTCGCTCGTTCAAGACTTATCTAGAAACAGAGATACTTTATTATAAACACATGATCATCTTTATTTGTTTAGCACTTTATAAGTCAATAAAATACTGCAGAATAAAGTCTGTACACAAGAAAGCAACGTATACTGATGGTACAAGCCTTATCTCTCTGGTCTCTCTCTGGTCTCTCTCTGGTCTCTCTCTGGTCTCTCTCTCTGGTCTCTCTCTGGTCTCTCTCTGGTCTCTCTCTGGTCTCTCTCTGGTCTCTCTCTCTGGTCTCTCTCTGGTCTCTCTCTGGTCTCTCTCTGGTCTCTCTCTGGTCTCTCTCTGGTCTCTCTCTGGTCTCTCTCTGGTCTCTCTCTGGTCTCTCTCTCTGGTCTCTCTCTGGTCTCTCTCTGGTCTCTCTCTGGTCTCTCTCTGGTCTCTCTCTGGTCTCTCTCTGGTCTCTCTCTGGTCTCTCTCTCTGGTCTCTCTCTGGTCTCTCTCTCTGGTCTCTCTCTGGTCTCTCTCTGGTCTCTCTCTCTGGTCTCTCTCTGGTCTCTCTCTGGTCTCTCTCTCTGGCCTCTCTCTGGTCTCTCTCTCTGGTCTCTCTCTGGTCTCTCTCTGGTCTCTCTCTGGTCTCTCTCTGGTCTCTCTCTGGTCTCTCTCTGGTCTCTCTCTCTGGTCTCTCTCTGGTCTCTCTCTCTGGTCTCTCTCTGGTCTCTCTCTGGTCTCTCTCTCTGGTCTCTCTCTGGTCTCTCTCTGGTCTCTCTCTGGTCTCTCTCTGGTCTCTCTCTCTGGTCTCTCTGGTCTCTCTCTGGTCTCTCTCTCTGGTCTCTCTCTGGTCTCTCTCTGGTCTCTCTCTGGTCTCTCTCTCTGGTCTCTCTCTCTGGTCTCTCTCTGGTCTCTCTCTCTGGTCTCTCTCTGGTCTCTCTCTGGTCTCTCTCTGGTCTCTCTCTCTGGTCTCTCTCTGGTCTCTCTCTGGTCTCTCTCTCTGGTCTCTCTCTGGTCTCTCTCTCTGGCCTCTCTCTGGTCTCTCTCTCTGGTCTCTCTCTGGTCTCTCTCTGGTCTCTCTCTCTGGTCTCTCTCTGGTCTCTCTCTCTGGTCTCTCTCTGGTCTCTCTCTGGTCTCTCTCTGGTCTCTCTCTGGTCTCTCTCTCTGGTCTCTCTCTGCTCTCTCTCTGGTCTCTCTCTGGTCTCTCTCTGGTCTCTCTCTCTGGTCTCTCTCTGGTCTCTCTCTGGTCTCTCTCTCTCTCTCTGGTCTCTCTCTCTGGTCTCTCTCTCTGGTCTCTCTCTCTGGTCTCTCTCTGGTCTCTCTCTGGTCTCTCTCTCTGGTCTCTCTCTGGTCTCTCTCTGGTCTCTCTCTGGTCTCTCTCTGGTCTCTCTCTCTGGTCTCTCTCTGGTCTCTCTCTCTGGTTTCTCTCTGGTCTTTCTCTCTGGTCTCTCTCTCTGATCTCTCTCTGGTCTCTCTCTGGTCTCTCTCTGGTCTCTCTCTCTGGTCTCTCTCTGGTCTCTCTCTGGTCTCTCTCTCTGGTCTCTCTCTGGTCTCTCTCTCTGGTCTCTCTCTGGTCTCTCTCTGGTCTCTCTATGGTCTCTCTCTGGTCTCTCTCTCTGGTCTCTCTCTGGTCTCTCTCTCTGGTCTCTCTCTGGTCTCTCTCTCTGGTTTCTCTCTGGTCTTTCTCTCTGGTCTCTCTCTCTGATCTCTCTCTGGTCTCTCTCTGGTCTCTCTCTGGTCTCTCTCTCTGGTCTCTCTCTGGTCTCTCTCTCTGGTTTCTCTCTGGTCTCTCTCTGGTCTCTCTCTCTGGTCTCTCTCTGGTCTCTCTCTGGTCTCTCTCTCTCTGGTCTCTCTCTGGTCTCTCTCTGGTCCCTCTTTGGTCTCTCTCTGGTCTCTCTCTCTGGTCTCTCTCTGGTCTCTCTCTGGTCCCTCTCTGGTCTCTCTCTGGTCTCTCTCTGGTCCCTCTTTGGTCTCTCTCTGGTCTCTCTCTCTGGTCTCTCTCTGGTCTCTCTCTGGTCCCTCTCTGGTCTCTCTCTGGTCTCTCTCTGGTCTCTCTCTTTGGTATCTCTCTCTCTGGTCTCTCTCTGGTCTCTCTCTCTGGTCTCTCTTTGGTCTCTCTCTCTCTGGTCTCTCTCTGGTCTCTCTCTCTGGTCTCTCTCTGGTCTCTCTCTGGTCTCTCTCTGGTCTCTCTCTGGTCTCTCTCTCTCTGGTCTCTCTTTGGTCTCTCTCTCTGCTCTCTCTCTGGTCTCTCTCTCTGCTCTCTCTCTGGTCTCTCTCTCTCTGGTCTCTCTTTGGTCTCTCTCTCTCTGGTCTCTCTCTGGTCTCTCTCTGGTCTCTCTTTGGTCTCTCTCTCTCTGGTCTCTCTCTGGTCTCTCTCTGGTCTCTCTCTCTCTGGTCTCTCTCTGGTCTCTCTCTGGTCTCTCTTTGGTCTCTCTCTCTCTGGTCTCTCTCTCTCTGGTCTCTCTCTGGTCTCTCTCTCTGGTCTCTCTCCTCAGGCAGGTGGTTCCAAAGCTGAGGAGCTAGGACAGAGAAGGCTCTATCACCTTTTTGTCCGGAGCCTGGCACAAAGATAAATACAGCTGGGATCCAGATCTGAACGAGCTTTAAAAGTGAACAATAAAATCTTAAAATTACTCAATTACTCACTGGTCCATGTGGATCTCACTGGTCCATGTGGATCTCCATGTGGATCTCACTGGTCCATGTGGATCTCACTGGTCCATGTGTATCTCACTGGTCCATGTGGATCTCACTGGTCCATGTGGATCTCACTGGTCCATGTGGATCTCACTGGTCCATGTGGATCTCACTGGTCCATGTGGATCTCACTGGTCCATGTGTATCTCACTGGTCCATGTGGATCTCACTGGTCCATGTGGATCTCACTGGTCCATGTGTATCTCACTGGTCCATGTGGATCTCACTGGTCCATGTGGATCTCACTGGTCCATGTGGATCTCACTGGTCCATGTGGATCTCACTGGTCCATGTGGATCTCACTGGTCCATGTGGATCTCACTGGTCCATGTGTATCTCACTGGTCCATGTGGATCTCACTGGTCCATGTGGATCTCACTGGTCCATGTGGATCTCACTGGTCCATGTGGATCTCACTGGTCCATGTGGATCTCACTGGTCCTGGTCCATGTGGATCTCACTGGTCCATGTGGATCTCACTGGTCCATGTGGATCTCACTGGTCCATGTGGATCTCACTGGTCCATGTGGATCTCACTGGTCCATGTGGATCTCACTGGTCCATGTGGATCTCACTGGTCCATGTGGATCTCACTGGTCCATGTGGATCTCACTGGTCCATGTGGATCTCACTGGTCCATGTGGATCTCACTGGTCCATGTGGATCTCACTGGTCCATGTGGATCTCACTGGTCCATGTGGATCTCACTGGTCCATGTGGATCTCACTGGTCCATGTGGATCTCACTGGTCCATGTGGATCTCACTGGTCCATGTGGATCTCACTGGTCCATGTGGATCTCACTGGTCCATGTGGATCTCTCTCACTGGTCCATGGTCCATGTGGATCTCACTGGTCCATGTGGATCTCCATGTGGATCTCACTGGTCCATGTGTATCTCACTGGTCCATGTGTATCTCACTGGTCCATGTGGATCTCACTGGTCCATGTGGATCTCACTGGTCCATGTGGATCTCCATGTGGATCTCACTGGTCCATGTGGATCTCACTGGTCCATGTGGATCTCACTGGTCCATGTGTATCTCACTGGTCCATGTGGATCTCACTGGTCCATGTGGATCTCACTGGTCCATGTGGATCTCACTGGTCCATGTGGATCTCACTGGTCCATGTGTATCTCACTGGTCCATGTGGATCTCACTGGTCCATGTGGATCTCACTGGTCCATGTGTATCTCACTGGTCCATGTGGATCTCACTGGTCCATGTGGATCTCACTGGTCCATGTGGATCTCACTGGTCCATGTGGATCTCACTGGTCCATGTGGATCTCACTGGTCCATGTGGATCTCACTGGTCCATGTGGATCTCACTGGTCCATGTGTATCTCACTGGTCCATGTGGATCTCACTGGTCCATGTGGATCTCACTGGTCCATGTGGATCTCACTGGTCCACGTGGATCTCACTGGTCCATGTGGATCTCACTGGTCCATGTGTATCTCACTGGTCCATGTGGATCTCACTGGTCCATGTGGATCTCCATGTGGATCTCACCGGTCCATGTGGATCTCACTGGTCCATGTGTATCTCACTGGTCCATGTGGATCTCACTGGTCCATGTGGATCTTACTGGTCCATGTGGATCTCACTGGTCCATGTGGATCTCACTGGTCCATGTGGATCTCACTGGTCCATGTGGATTTCCATGTGGATCTCACCGGTCCATGTGTATCTCACTGGTCCATGTGTATCTCACTGGTCCATGTGGATCTCACTGGTCCATATGGATCTTACTGGTCCATGTGGATCTTACTGGTCCATGTGGATCTCACTGGTCCATGTGGATCTCACTGGTCCATGTGGATCTCACTGGTCCATGTGGATCTCACTGGTCCATGTGGATCTCACTGGTCCATGTGGATCTCACTGGTCCATGTGGATCTCACTGGTCCATGTGGATCTTACTGGTCCATGTGGATCTCACTGGTCCATGTGTATCTCACTGGTCCATGTGCATCTCACTGGTCCATGTGGATCTCACTGGTCCATGTGGATCTCACTGGTCCATGTGGATCTCACTGGTCCATGTGTATCTCACTGGTCCATGTGGATCTCACTGGTCCATGTGGATCTCACTGGTCCATGTGGATCTCACTGGTCCATGTGTATCTCACTGGTCCATGTGCATCTCACTGGTCCATGTGGATCTCACTGGTCCATGTGGATCTCACTGGTCCATGTGTATCTCACTGGTCCATGTGGATCTCACTGGTCCATGTGGATCTCACTGGTCCATGTGTATCTCACTGGTCCATGTGTATCTCACTGGTCCACGTGGATCTCACTGGTCCATGTGGATCTCACTGGTTAGGGTTAGGGTGTTGTGTTGTCTGATGTGTGTGTTTCTCTGCAGCCCTCTTTGTGTTGCTGGCGATGGCCATTTACACCGGAGTGACCGTGAACTTCCTGGGCAAGCGCTTTGGGGACTGGCGGTTCTCCTGGTCCTACATCCTCGGCTGGGTGGCTCTGCTCATGACGTTCTTTGCAGGTTAGAGTCATTCTTCTTCTACACGATAGTGATGTATGTGGGACGATTAAACCTGGAACGACTAAGGTCACGGCGGCTGAGTGGTTAGCATTCTTGTTTCTAAGACCAGGTTCAAATCCAGGGTTTCTGAGTGGAGTTTGCATGTTCTCCCCGTGTCTATGTAGGTTTCCTCCGGGTGCTCCAGTTTCCCCTACCACTAAAAATATGTACAATAGTCTAAATGTAAAGAATGGATGGTGTTTGGTCGGAGGCTTTGATGGACCAGTGTGTTCAGGTCTCACCGTGTGGAGAGAATGGAACAATATCTGACTCTGAACATTGTAAACCTTGGTCTGTAAAATGTGCTATATAAATAAGCATTACTCTCTCCTTTGTTTGCAGGGATCTTCTACATGTGCGCCTACAGAATGCACGAGTGTCGGAGGGTGGCGGGACCACGGTGAGGGACCACGGCGAGGGACCACGGTGAGGGACCACGGCGAGGGACCAGGAGGAGCCAGAGGAGGACCTTAAATTGCTTTGTCTAATAATAAACTGGTTCTGCATCTGTGACATGTGTTTGGTGATGGCTGCATTTATATCTGGAATGTTCTGTAGGAAAACTAAACACTGTGTCTTGAAAACACTGCAATTATTAAAGCTGAAAACATGAATAAGTCAGAAACATATCAGGTATTTTCTAAAGAAGTGGTAAAGTTTTAATGTCAGGCTGTAAAGTCCCCAAACCAACGGAAAATGTAGCTCCGAGATATTACAATAAACATTTTGGATGAGAACTTTATGTTATAACTATGACCCTGACGACTGCATAAAGTCACGCAGGTAAATAGTTCTTAATGGTCCAGGAACAAACACTATACTATAGTGCTATACTCTGGTGCTAGCAAAGGTGCTATACTCTGGTGCTAGCAAAGGTGCTATACTCTGTGTCTGTATCGGTGCATCCTTTGTCCTTAAAAAAGTCTAAATACTATAAAAACAAGCAGACGATGCGCAGCTGCACAGAGGGTCCCCAAAGACTGAACCTGCTGTAAGTACACAACAACTGTCTGCTCTGGTTCAGACAAACGCACATCCTCCGGCCTCTCTCTGCTGTGTTCATGTGACGAGAGTCCTGTGTGTGAAACAGTAGATATAATCTGCAGCCTTCATAAGTACTGTATGTTAGCAGACCAGCCCATGGGTCTTTCCTTCATGGTTTAAGGCCTGCTGGTGTCTGGGGTTGCACAGGACGGGCCTGACTCTCCCCTCTGAGTTTGCCCGACTTCCTCCGTGGATTGGCTCTGAGGTGAGACTCCTCTCTTCCTCCTTCGCCTCCTCAGATTGTGGGTTAGTCTTGATGTCTCCGGCTCTTGGTATTTCGTCAGGTGGATTATTCGGTGGCTAGAACTTGGCCCCGGGACAATGGTACGGTGGATGGCAGCTGTAAATAATCTCCAGAGTGTAACTGAAAACTTCTAAACCTTAATTTCACATTTATCAGATGTTTTTTTTCCAAATAAATGACAATAGAGAATTACTTTTAGGTAATTTTAATGCAGGAATGATTATATAGTTTCCAAAAGCACAGCAAATGCAAAACTGATACAAAAATACAATGGTTACATAATAATAGTAGCTAATACAGACTTTCTGGTGCCTCTGGTGCCTCCTAACCCACTCCCCGGCTCAGGCCCTGAGGTCTCTGTGAGGGGCTCAGGTCTCTGTGAGGGGCTCAGGTCTCTGTGAGGGGCTCAGGTCTGTGAGGGGCTCAGGTCTCTGTGAGGGGCTCAGGTCTCTGTGAGGGGCTCAGGTCTCTGTGAGGGGCTCAGGTCTCTGTGAGGGGCTCAGGTCTCTGTGAGGGGCTCAGGTCTCTGTGAGGGGCTGGGGGGCTCAGGTCTCTGTGAGGGGACTTCAGTTGCGCTGATTTTCTCAATCTTGGACGTCACATTTCTAAAACAAACAAACAAACAGTTATAAATTAAACCCAAAGTGCCTTAAACTAAAGCAGAAGTACCTAGTTTGAGCGTAGTATTGGGTTCAAAGCCACATCCACAGACGGACGCTGAGCAGGAACCACTTTTACTTTTCTAAACAGAAAAAGAACACAATAACATAGATTGTTAAATTACTTTGACCTTAAAGGAGAAACAACAGAAAATCCTCTTTTTGAGATTTTAGCTTCGTCCGTGTCCGGACTGAAAGATTTAACTCTTGTTGATATACAGTGATTATTTATGATATTAATGTGGTTTTGTCCAGCCCTGTGACTGTCCTTGTGTATGAACTGTGCCATATAAATAAACTTGCCTTTCCCATTATCACAGAAACACAGAAGAGCATGGAGCTCAGTCGTTACCTGAGGACACAGAGCAGTGTAGTCGACACAACCAACACAATCACAGCCACGAGACGCAGAGTTCTCACGTCTGTCCAAACGGCGGCAGCTGAACCGAGCTGAACCGAGCTGAACCGAGCTGAACCGAACACAAACCAAACACACAAGTCAGACTTTCACCAAACTCTCATCTTCGTTTTCAACAAATTAACGGCTCTATGCTTTTGGACTCAACCAAAACATGTTCCCCATATTCTGAGGTTATATTTCAGCATGAGCCAAAAGAACTCTAAGAGAAAGAGTAATATAGTTCTTTCAAAAATGTCAGATTTGTCCTTTGTCTAATCTGGCCCCCCCTGGACTGCCACCTTAACGTGGTGGGGGAGTTTGAGTCGCCCGGCATGGCGCAGCCGGGGCCCCACCCTGGAGCCAGGCCTGGGGTCGGGGCTCGTATGCGAGCGCCTGGTGGCCGGGCCTTAGCCCACGGGGCCCGGCCGGGGATGACGTGGGCAGTCCCCCCTGTGGGCCCACCACCTGCAGAGAGGTCCGTGGCGGCGCGGTGCTGAGAGGACTGGGCGGCAGTCCGCACACACAACATCTGGCTCTTGGGACGTGGAACGTCACCTCACTGGGGGGGAAGGAGCCCGAGCTCGTGGGGGAGGTTGAGCGATACCGACTAGAGATAGTCGGCCTCACCTCCACACACAGCTTGGGCTCTGGAACCCAACTCCTTGAGAGGGGTTGGACGCTCCACTTTTCTGGTGTTTCCCGCGGGGAGAGGCGGCAAGCTGGGGTGGCCATACTCATTGCCCCCATCTCAGCCGCCACGTGTTGGAGTTCTCCCCGGTGAATGAGAGGGTCGCGTCCCTCCGCCTCCGGGTGGGGGACAAGTCTCTCATTGTTGTGACGGCCTAAGGGCCTAACAGCAGTGCAGAGGGACACACTAGGCCGGAGGTCGATGATCGACTTTGTTGTCGTATCATCTGACCTTCGACCGCGTGTCTCGGACATTCAGGTGAAGAGAGGGGAGGAGCTAAAGAGAGGGGCGGAGCTATCAACCGATCACCACCTGGTCGTGAGTTGGATCCGCTGGCAGGGAAGAAGCCGGTCAGACCTGGCAGACCCAAGCGTATAGTGAGGGTTTGCTGGGAATGTCTCGCTGAGCCCCCTGTCAGACGGACTTTCAACTCACACCTCCGGGAGAGTTTCTCCCAGGTCCCGGCGGAGGAGGGGGACATTGAGTCCGAGTGGACCATGTTCTCTGCCTCAATCGCCAATGCGGCGGCTCGTAGCTGTGGTCGCAAGGTCTCTGGTGCTGGTCCCGGCGGCAACCCCCGAACCCGGTGGTGGACAGTGAGGGATGCTGTCAGGCTGAAGAAGGAGTCCTATCGAGCAATGATGGTTCGGGGGACTCCTGAGGGTTAGGGTTAACCCTAACCCTGACCGTAACAGATCCCACTGAAACATTGATCCACTCCTAATAAACCATAATACACCATATCAACCAAGTCGAGCGTTGCGCTCACAAAACGCCAGACGTCTGGTGGTTCCTAAGGTCTCAAAGGTCACTGTTGGTGGCAGAGCATTTAGCTACCAAGCTCCTTTACTGTGGAATCAGCTTCATTTATGTTAAGGAAGCAGATACGATCTCCACATTCAAGGCCAGGCTTAAAGCACTTTACTTTAATTTAGCATATAATTAGGTAATATATAATATGTAGTGTATATATTATATATATATATGCTGTATTATGTTATATATTATACAATATATGTATTATGTTGTGTATTGTGTTATGTTGTATATTATGTTATATATTAACCTGTATGTTATGTTATGTATTATACATGATATATATGGTATGTATGGTATATATGATGTATATGATATATAATATATAATTAGGTTTGCTTGGATCGGTTTGGCACACCTGGTGTGTAATCATGAGTCTTGGTGCTGTAGCCTAGGCTAGCCTAGCCGTGGCTGCTGCTGTCTCGCCTCCTTTCAGATACGCTCTCTTTATTCAAGGCTAGGTTTAAAACAGTCCTCTTTAGTTTAGCATATGGCTAGGAAGGTAAGACTCAGGGAAGGCTAAACTCCTCAGACTGTCAGTCAAGCTGCATAGGGCGCCCCCTGCTGGAGAAGTATGGTAACTTGAGCACTATCCTCTCCTCCTTCCTACTTTATCTGTTTAGCATTATTAGGATTTTGACTGTAGTTTGTTCATTGCTATTCACCCGTTGTCCCATTGTCTGTTTCATGGTACGATGACGGGATCTCTGAGCCTGGCCTCCTCCATCTACACCTGCGGACTGCCCCGCCCGACCCGCCTGGGAGTGCTTCGGTCCTGCACTGGACCTGTCCACGTTCAGCGGCCACTGGTCCACGTTCTGTAGCTAGCTTAGGTCCTGGATCTATAGCCCGTCTGCAGCTTAGGTCCTGGATCTATAGCCTCAGTCCTCGTTCTACAGTCTGAGTCCTGGATCTATAGCCCGTCCGTCCGTGGGAGCGGATCCCTTTCTCAAACTATGGGTCTCCCCGAGGTTTCTCACTTTTTGCCAATGGGTTTTCTTATGAGTTTTTCCTCTGATGCAGGAGGGTCTGTTGGACAGTTAGTGTCCAACTAGGACTGACATTTATCAACAGAAACACAGAGGACCACACGACTCACGCGTCGTAATTATAGTCTATTATAATAGACTTTAATAGACTATAATATACCATAATACACAAGAAAACATATATGGACTGATGTACCTGGTCCATGGAGAACTGAGTGAAGGTGAAGCTGCTGAGTGTGAGAGCCCAGAGAGTTGCTGGTGCGACTCTCTTCCGCCTCCGTCGAGCATAGACGTGTCTCAGACGCTCCTGCTTCTGACTGCTTGCTATCTCCTGTTTTTGTCTTTTTCCTGGAGTTTTGCCACAGACAACTTTTAGCAAGAATGGAAATGATTAACTGGTCCCTCAACGCAATTGATTCTATCTTTTCAACACGTAAGCGTGGGTCTGGAGAGCCCGTGTGCCCGGACGGGACTTCACCAGCGGGGTATACTCTTGACAGCTGGAACAAGTGGCAGCCCCTCTGTCTGTCGACCCTGTCCATTGAAGATTCGGAAAACGTATATATCTTTGGCATTTTGGTGGTGGGGATCCTCCTGTTTGGGTTTGGAGCGATCCTCTTCTACCATAAATTCGGAGGCATGGCAGTTCGCAAGATTCACGACCTGCTGGCCGACAAAATTGATGGGATGTACAAGGAGCTTAACCGAGTCGTGGTTGAGAGCGCTGTGGCTGGACAACGAAGAGTGGTGTTAGTGGAACAATGATCAATGATCAAAGATCTCGCAGCTCGTTCACTCGATGGGCATAAAACTCTGGAATTGAGATTGAATGACATTGTGTGTCACGCTTGAACTCTCTGACCCGGCTTGGATTGGCCCCTGTGTACGGGGTCTGAGGGCGCCGTAATTCGGTTTAATTGGATTTAATAGAATATCTGCCTGTTTTTGACTGCTAAAATGCATACTATATTGTCCCTCGTTACAGGAAGATGTGTTTTCTCCTTGCTGTGTCTTCTCTCCACTCTTATCTCACATTCCTCGGGCCAAGGCCATCATAATAAATCTGGTCTCTACAACAATTTCACACTCTTTCAGTCAGTTCCAGCTTGGATCCCGCTCCCCCCGCCTCCCTCTGATCTCTCCCTCCCCTCCCCTCCTCACTGTGTTTCCGACTCACCCCCTCCCTGACCCCGCCCCCCTCTGACAGCCACATTCGGCTGTCGGAGGTGCTCATCCCGTGAAAAAAATCCGTGGTTTATACAAAGCACAATGTTTTCTATCCAACTGTCTGTGAACTGTATGTTTCTGCTCTCTGCTGTTTATTCTACTGTTTGTCGCATGGCGCCGGAAAAATGGCGCCGTGGCAAGAGCTCTGGTGTGTGTCGCCTTCTCTGTCTGGCGCACACCGGGGTAGTCTTGCACAGTTTTTCCAATGTGGTTTTACTGCAAATGGCAAATAAATGAATCTGAATCTGAGAGCAGAGAGACTGGATGTGTCCACTGAGGTTTCACTACAGTCAGGACACTTCTTAGAGCCCAGTGGCTCAGACGCTCACTGCTGATGGAGAGGTTTGGAGAGACCGCTGGGAACGTCCAGTGTACCAGAGGAAAGGGCTTCCCCTCAGCCTCACACACACAGAGGATCTGTGCCCAGTCTCCAGAGCAGTTTGAGGAGCTCAGGATCTGTGCAGGGACTGGACACACAATCCAACATGTGAACATTTAATACATGATTCATGACAAAGAGAAAAGACATACACTGTACGTCCAGCTGAGAGACCACAGAGCGCTCCGTTCCCAGATGATTCTTGACTTCACAGAAAACAGCAGTGGTTTCTCTGGAGACTTTCATTTGAAACACAGAGGAGTTTGCGATCAGAGAGTGAGCTCCTCCATCAGCTTTATACCAGTGGACAGAGGTGTGGACTCGAGTCATGTGACTTGGACTCGAGTCAGACTCGAGTCATGATTTTGATGACTTTAGACTCGACTTGACCAAATATAAAAAGACTTGCAACTCGACTTGGACTTTAACATCAATGACTCTGACTTTCACTTGGACTTGCGCCAATTGACTTGTAAAGACTTGCGTAACCCGGGCCATTTTTACCTTTCTCCGCATCTCTCTTTCTATCTATGCCGTCTCTGAAGAAACAAAGCCTCGCGGTAGTTGTAGTGCTCGCGAGAGAGTTCGAACGTGAGTTCCCCGCAGTTCGCGCAGCAACACTTCCCTAAACAAGCGGACTGCATTCACCGGTGGGTGTGTTGTCGTAGGGGAGCTGGAAATGAGCGAGCTGCAGGTATTTATCGCGACCTAACGTCATATTTTGTTCTACAAACCGTAATTGATATGCTTTCACTACAGGCGCCTCATACAATTGAATCGACGCAGTTGTCACACTCTGTGCCGTGTTTTAAAGAGGAACTGGTGAGTCAAACTAGCGCTAGCCTGCGCTGCTCTGTTGGCTCTTTCTTATATTTTTCTGTGTGGGCGCCGAGGCCTATTATTATGAGTATGTTTTTGGCTGTGCTCCTCCTGCTAAAGTTTGCATACATTAGATAGTTGTTTTGATTATGTGCACTAAGCTAGATTAATATTTGCACTATTGTTTATGGTGCATTGATATGAGAATCAGTGCTTTGACTGATTGAATTAATTTATATGAGACATTTTATTATGTAATGATATATTGGTAATTATGAGATATTACTAATGCTGGCCCAGTTCATACAGGCCGGGGTCCTTCCCCTCCATTGGTCCCTTCAGTCCTTTGGAACAATAACCACTACGGACATTAAACTGATTATATAGATACAGGTCCTAGCCCAATACTCATATTCATATATGCTGCACTTGCTACTTCCCATTAAAAACCCCAAAGATAAAAAGTATGTTGACATGGACTGCTCTGATTTTATGTGTGGTCTGTGCATGTGTAACTGAGCCTGCATCTGGCACAACATCCAATTAGATCACGTAGATAGTTTTGATTTACCAGCAGCCAACGACATGGAACAAACTGTTAGTCCATGGGTCAGAGACCAACGAGAATGCACCAGCAAAATGATTCCTAACATTATTTTGTTTGCCTACAAAAGTAGGTGGAGACCAACAAGAAACAAATCGCGGTCAAAAAGACTCGAGAGGACTCGAAAGTCAAACCGTAGGACTTGGGACTGACTTGAGATTTGTTGGCCTTTGACTTGGACTCGACTCGGGACTTGCCTGTCTTGACTCGTGACTTGACTCGGGACTTGAGGGCAATGAATTGAGACTGACTTGTGACTTGCTAAACAATGACTTTGTCCCACCTCTGCCAGTGGAAGACGCTTGGGTTGGCGTCACTTCTGCAGATCAACCTGATGTGACTGTTTTCTGCCACAGGACCAGAGGGAATAATGCTCACTGTTGGAGTTTCCGGAGGATCTGCCACAGAAACAAACACTGAACACCATGTGGTGTGTGTCAAATGATAAAGACATTAGAAAGACAAACTACGTACATTGGACGTCTAAAGAAGTGACAGAGGAGCGATGAGTCCCAAGTTCATTCTGAGCCTGACAGAAAACAGCAGTAGTTTCTCTGGAGGCGTTCATGTGTAAAACAGAGGAGTTTCCAATGGAAGTGTGAGTTCCTCCATCAGCTTTATACCAGTGGTAGTGCTGTACAGCTGGGTTAGCATCACTGCTGCAGCTCAGAGACATGTGACTGTGTTCTGCCACTGCACCAGAGGGACTCACTGTCACGTTGGTGTTTCTGGGTCCATCTACAAGGACAAGATCACAGCTGTTCTTTCATATCTGATGAACATGACATCCTTGGTTCAGAGTGTTTGGTCTGATGAGGTTTGGACCATGACTCACATGAGACCGAAGGCGTGGTCTGCACACTCGCAGTGGTCACAGAGGCGTCCTCTCGTCTGTATTCTGCGGAGCATGTGATGCTCTTGTCGTGGAGGATGTGAGACGCCGTGAAGCTCAGAGTGGACTCCTGGACGTAGGTGTTGTCCTCCTGCTGCTGCAGAGTGACCTGAACCTGTCCCAGGACAGGGCTCCATGTCAGAGTGGGAGGGAGAGACGGACACGGGACAGGAGCAGAGCACTGCAGCCTCACAGACTGCCCCTCAGCCACACTCACAGTGGGGGGGCTCAGGGTGGGAGTGGGAGCAGCCTCTGGAGGGAGACACAGGGCATCAGTGAACAAACCACGTTTACAACTTCAAATTAGAATAAGAAGCAGCAGAGACCTGTCACTGTGATGTTTAGTGATTTTATAAACTTATATCTTAATTTTTCTCCACAGAGCAGTCTGAAGTAAACCTGGTTCTCTTCTGTGATGTCACGCACTGTCGTCGTACAGTTCTTCTGCTCTAAGTTTCCTGTTGTTGTTCGAGTAAAAGCTACTTTAGAATCAGTGGTTTTTCTCCACTCTGATCTACAGTCAGACGTCAGGTCTTGCTCATACGTCTTTCGGACGGTGAAGGAGCAGGGAATGGTCAGACAGGATCCACGCAGAGCCTCCATGTGTCGAGGCAGAGAGACGCTGAAGTCTCTGGGCACCTTCAAACACAACCATTATAACATCTCTGGATTATCATTCTTTCATAATCCACTTTTTATGTGTTTGAGCCACTCACTGTGCCACAGGAGGAGGGGAGAGAGAAGCATCCGAACATCCCACATCTAACACCGGAAACCAGAGTTTTCAAAACTGTCCAAATTTAACAGATCATACAATAATATTCTGTCTGTCGTTCTCAGATAAATAAATTATCAAACTTTTCTCAGGGAAATGTGAATAAAATGAATGGAATCATTATAAACAGATACTGTCAGACCTCTGAAGCTAAGCAGGGCAGGGCCTGGTTAGTGCGGTGATGGGAGACCTCTGGGAACAGCAGGTGCCACAGTGGGGCGGCTGTAAAGTGCCAAACTGTGGTTGTGTCCTTAGGCAAGACACTTCCCCCACATTAGAATGAGTCTGGTGTGTGTGTGACCCTAACCCTCGCTCCTGTCAGTGTGTCCCAGGGCAGCTGTGGCTACAGTAGTAGTTTATCACCACCGTGTATAAAACTGATGCATTGTCCTTATTAATATATTAATATAATAATAATATAAATATAATAATAAGAATAAAAGTAACAGCCCTGACAAGCAAAGTTTACTCAAAAAAACCTTGTAAATAAATTGCACATTAAAACTTCACTTGAATTCCTCGAGTACATCCTTTACTTTCTATTACCAAGTAAACTCAAGTGATTGCGTCAAAGTTTAAATTTCAACTTATGCTCCGACCGGGATTCGTACTTACAACCTTGGGGTTGAGAGGTGAAGGGTCACCGTACCACCCTGACAGCAACACACCTGTCTCATTCAAGACTCTACACGTCAAAATGTCCAAAGTGAGGCTTACTTGAACAGAAACAGTTCAATTCAAAGAAAGCCCTGAGTGACATAGGCAAGCTTTAAATAAACTAACAATAAACGAGTCATATTCACTTACTGGGAAAAATCTATTTGAAATAACTTTGATATCTGAAGTACAATGGAAGTTAGGGTTAGAGGGCACTTCCTTGTGATTCTGAAAAAGGCTCATTTTGGAAAACTAAACGGGAGAAAAAAGATTCATGGCAATAATTAATAATAAATAATCATCCTTTCTAAAGTTATTCTAGACTCTAGTTATTCTTTTTCTGCGGCCGACCATAGAACAAAAGCGTTCTCCTCTGTGCAAAGACACTTCTATCAGCTCTAAATCTACTCTAATACTAGTTTTCTGAAAACAGACCACACAAAGGTAAAACTTGAGCAGTACTTACGGTCTTCGAGTCAAAGAGAGAAGTCTTTGAAAGCAGAACTCTGCAGTGGGACATGAGCGGGTGAAGCTCAGACGTGTCGAGGGTGTTTTTCTCACTCTTTGAGAGAAACTGGAAGATGCTCGACACATATTTGCAAAAACTTGACTCAGCAATTTTCCAACGCTTTAATGTTGTATCACTAAATGTAGATGAAGCAGCAAAGAAACATATTTATTAACCCTTTTCATAGGCCTTTGACAAAAGGTTGAGATGCAGATTTATTGTTGTTTATTTATCTTTTTAAATCTGCAGAAACAAAGAAAGGAGCAGGTCCGGGCCATGGGCGACCAGTGCAGCTGGAACCTGAACCATCTGGAGGCGGCGGGAACCTGAACCATCTGGAGGAGGCTGGAACCTGAACCATCTGGAGGAGGCTGGAACCTGAACCATCTGGAGGAGGCTGGAACCTGAACCATCTGGAGGCGGCTGGAACCTGAACCATCTGGAGGCGGCTGGAACCTGAACCATCTGGAGGAGGCTGGAACCTGAACCATCTGGAGGCGGCTGGAACCTGAACCATCTGGAGGCGGCTGGAACCTGAACCATCTGGAGGCGGCGGGAACCTGAACCATCTGGAGGAGGCTGGAACCTGAACCATCTGGAGGCGGCTGGAACCTGAACCATCTGGAGGCGGCTGGAACATGAACCATCTGGAGGCGGCTGGAACCTGAACCATCTGGAGGCGGCTGGAACCTGAACCATCTGGAGGCGGCTGGAACCTGAACCATCTGGAGGCGTCTGGAACCTGAACCATCTGGAGGCGGCTGGAACCTGAACCATCTGGAGGCGGCTGTAACCTGAACCATCTGGAGGAGGCTGGAACCTGAACCATCTGGAGGAGGCTGGAACCTGAACCATCTGGAGGCGGCTGGAACCTGAACCATCTGGAGGAGGCTGGAACCTGAACCATCTGGAGGAGGCTGGAACCTGAACCATCTGGAGGCGGCTGGAACCTGAACCATCTGGAGGCGGCTGGAACCTGAACCATCTGGAGGCGTCTGGAACCTGAACCATCTGGAGGCGGCTGGAACCTGAACCATCTGGAGGCGGCTGTAACCTGAACCATCTGGAGGAGGCTGGAACCTGAACCATCTGGAGGAGGCTGGAACCTGAACCATCTGGAGGAGGCTGGAACCTGAACCATCTGGAGGAGGCTGGAACCTGAACCATCTGGAGGCGGCTGGAACCTGAACCATCTGGAGGCGGCTGGAACCTGAACCATCTGGAGGAGGCTGGAACCTGAACCATCTGGAGGAGGCTGGAACCTGAACCATCTGGAGGCGGCTGGAACCTGAACCATCTGGAGGCGGCTGGAACCTGAACCATCTGGAGGAGGCTGGAACCTGAACCATCTGGAGGAGGCTGGAACCTGAACCATCTGGAGGCGGCTGGAACCTGAACCATCTGGAGGAGGCTGGAACCTGAACCATCTGGAGGAGGCTGGAACCTGAACCATCTGGAGGCGGCTGGAACCTGAACCATCTGGAGGCGGCTGGAACCTGAACCATCTGGAGGAGGCTGGAACCTGAACCATCTGGAGGAGGCTGGAACCTGAACCATCTGGAGGCGGCTGGAACCTTGAATCATCTGGAGGCGGCTGGAACCTGAACCATCTGGAGGCGTCTGGAACCTGAACCATCTGGAGGCGGCTGGATCCTGAACCATCTGGAGGCGGCTGTAACCTGAACCATCTGGAGGAGGCTGGAACCTGAACCATCTGGAGGCGGCTGGAACCTGAACCATCTGGAGGAGGCTGGAACCTGAACCATCTGGAGGCGGCTGGAACCTGAACCATCTGGAGGCGGCTGGAACCTGAACCATCTGGAGGCGGCGGGAACCTGAACCATCTGGAGGAGGCTGGAACCTGAACCATCTGGAGGCGGCTGGAACCTGAACCATCTGGAGGCGGCTGGAACATGAACCATCTGGAGGCAGCTGGAACCTGAACCATCTGGAGGCGGCTGGAACCTGAACCATCTGGAGGCGGCTGGAACCTGAACCATCTGGAGGCGTCTGGAACCTGAACCATCTGGAGGCGGCTGGAACCTGAACCATCTGGAGGCGGCTGTAACCTGAACCATCTGGAGGAGGCTGGAACCTGAACCATCTGGAGGAGGCTGGAACCTGAACCATCTGGAGGCGGCTGGAACCTGAACCATCTGGAGGAGGCTGGAACCTGAACCATCTGGAGGAGGCTGGAACCTGAACCATCTGGAGGCGGCTGGAACCTGAACCATCTGGAGGCGGCTGGAACCTGAACCATCTGGAGGCGTCTGGAACCTGAACCATCTGGAGGCGGCTGGAACCTGAACCATCTGGAGGCGGCTGTAACCTGAACCATCTGGAGGAGGCTGGAACCTGAACCATCTGGAGGAGGCTGGAACCTGAACCATCTGGAGGAGGCTGGAACCTGAACCATCTGGAGGAGGCTGGAACCTGAACCATCTGGAGGCGGCTGGAACCTGAACCATCTGGAGGCGGCTGGAACCTGAACCATCTGGAGGAGGCTGGAACCTGAACCATCTGGAGGAGGCTGGAACCTGAACCATCTGGAGGCGGCTGGAACCTGAACCATCTGGAGGCGGCTGGAACCTGAACCATCTGGAGGAGGCTGGAACCTGAACCATCTGGAGGAGGCTGGAACCTGAACCATCTGGAGGCGGCTGGAACCTGAACCATCTGGAGGAGGCTGGAACCTGAACCATCTGGAGGAGGCTGGAACCTGAACCATCTGGAGGCGGCTGGAACCTGAACCATCTGGAGGCGGCTGGAACCTGAACCATCTGGAGGAGGCTGGAACCTGAACCATCTGGAGGAGGCTGGAACCTGAACCATCTGGAGGCGGCTGGAACCTGAACCATCTGGAGGCGGCTGGAACCTGAACCATCTGGAGGCGGCTGGAACCTGAACCATCTGGAGGCGGCTGGAACCTGAACCATCTGGAGGCGGCTGTAACCTGAACCATCTGGAGGAGGCTGGAACCTGAACCATCTGGAGGAGGCTGGAACCTGAACCATCTGGAGGAGGCTGGAACCTGAACCATCTGGAGGCGGCGAACCTGAACCATCTGGAGGCGGCTGGAACCTGAACCATCTGGAGGAGGCTGGAACCTGAACCATCTGGAGGAGGCTGGAACCTGAACCATCTGGAGGCGGCTGGAACCTGAACCATCTGGAGGCGGCTGGAACCTGAACCATCTGGAGGAGGCTGGAACCTGAACCATCTGGAGGAGGCTGGAACCTGAACCATCTGGAGGCGGCTGGAACCTGAACCATCTGGAGGAGGCTGGAACCTGAACCATCTGGAGGAGGCTGGAACCTGAACCATCTGGAGGCGGCTGGAACCTGAACCATCTGGAGGCGGCTGGAACCTGAACCATCTGGAGGAGGCTGGAACCTGAACCATCTGGAGGAGGCTGGAACCTGAACCATCTGGAGGAGGCTGGAACCTGAACCATCTGGAGGCGGCTGGAACCTGAACCATCTGGAGGAGGCTGGAACCTGAACCATCTGGAGGAGGCTGGAACCTGAACCATCTGGAGGAGGCTGGAACCTGAACCATCTGGAGGCGGCTGATTGATTTTGGATGAGTCCTTATGACAGTTTTTCTCTATCGCTTAAACACATTTCACGATACTGCGCTCCCTTTCCTCAAAACTCTAAACACAAACCACTTTTCTGAAGCTGCGTACACACAACCTCACAGTCTCTTTTCAAAACCGACCCATCACCAAAACAGCTGCTCATGTTCTCAAAATCTAACTTTGACACCAAAATACCTCTGAAGGCATACACAAATATGAACACTACTGAGAATCATTAACCACTTCACCAAAACAACTACACACAATGGATACAACAGTAACAACTACACACAACAGATACAACAGTAACCACTACACACAACAGATACAACAGCAACAACTACACACAACAGATACAACAGTAACAACTACACACAACAGATACAACAGTAACAACTACACACAACAGATACAACAGCAACAACTACACACAACAGATACAACAGTAACAACTACACACAACAGATACAACAGCAACAACTACACACAACAGATACAACAGTAACAACTACACACACTTTGACCTGCTCCTCTCTCTCTTTGACCTGCTCCTCTCTCTCTTTGACCTGCTCCTCTCTCTCTTTGACCTGCTCCTCTCTCTCTTGACCTGCTCTCTCTCTCTTTGACCTGCTCCTCTCTCTCTCTCTCCTGACCTGCTCCTCTCTCTCCTTGACCTGCTCCTCTCTCTCTCTGACCTGCTCCTCTCTCTCCTTGACCTGCTCCTCTCTCTCTCTGACCTGCTCCTCTCTCTCCTTGACCTGCTCCTCTCTCTCTTTGACCTGCTCCTCTCTCTCCTTGACCTGCTCCTCTCTCTCTTTGACCTGCTCCTCTCTCTCTCTGACCTGCTCCTCTCTCTCCTTGACCTGCTCCTCTCTCTCTCTGACCTGCTCCTCTCTCTCCTTGACCTGCTCCTCTCTCTCTCTGACCTGCTCCTCTCTCTCCTTGACCTGCTCCTCTCTCTCTCTGACCTGCTCCTCTTTCTCCTTGACCTGCTCCTCTCTCTCTTTGACCTGCTCCTCTCTCTCCTTGACCTGCTCCTCTCTCTCCTTGACCTGCTCCTCTCTCTCTCTGACCTGCTCCTCTCTCTCCTTGACCTGCTCCTCTCTCTCTCTGACCTGCTCCTCTCTCTCCTTGACCTGCTCCTCTCTCTCTTTGACCTGCTCCTCTCTCTCCTTGACCTGCTCCTCTCTCTCTTTGACCTGCTCCTCTCTCTCTTTGACCTGCTCCTCTCTCTCTTTGACCTGCTCCTCTCTCTCTTTGACCTGCTCCTCTCTCTCTTTGACCTGCTCCTCTCTCTCTTTGACCTGCTCCTCTCTCTCCTTGACCTGCTCCTCTCTCTCTCTGACCTGCTCCTCTCTCTCCTTGACCTGCTCCTCTCTCTCTTTGACCTGCTCCTCTCTCTCTTTGACCTGCTCCTCTCTCTCCTTGACCTGCTCCTCTCTCTCTTTGACCTGCTCCTCTCTCTCTTTGACCTGCTCCTCTCTCTCTTTGACCTGCTCCTCTCTCTCTTTGACCTGCTCCTCTCTCTCCTTGACCTGCTCCTCTCTCTCTTTGACCTGCTCCTCTCTCTCCTTGACCTGCTCCTCTCTCTCTTTGACCTGCTCCTCTCTCTCCTTGACCTGCTCCTCTCTCTCTCTGACCTGCTCCTCTCTCTCCTTGACCTGCTCCTCTCTCTCTTTGACCTGCTCCTCTCTCTCCTTGACCTGCTCCTCTCTCTCTTTGACCTGCTCCTCTCTCTCTTTGACTGCTCTTCTCTCTTTGACCTGCTCCTCTCTCTCTTTGACCTGCTCCTCTCTCTCTCTGACCTGCTCCTCTCTCTCTTTGACCTGCTCCTCTCTCTCCTTGACCTGCTCCTCTCTCTCTCTGACCTGCTCCTCTCTCTCCTTGACCTGCTCCTCTCTCTCTTTGACCTGCTCCTCTCTCTCCTTGACCTGCTCCTCTCTCTCTTTGACCTGCTCCTCTCTCTCTCTGACCTGCTCCTCTCTCTCCTTGACCTGCTCCTCTCTCTCTCTGACCTGCTCCTCTCTCTCTTTGACCTGCTCCTCTCTCTCTTTGACCTGCTCCTCTCTCTCTTTGACCTGCTCCTCTCTCTCTTTGACCTGCTCCTCTCTCTCTTTGACCTGCTCCTCTCTCTCTCTGACCTGCTCCTCTCTCTCCTTGACCTGCTCCTCTCTCTCTCTGACCTGCTCCTCTCTCTCTTTGACCTGCTCCTCTCTCTCTTTGACCTGCTCCTCTCTCTCCTTGACCTGCTCCTCTCTCTCTTTGACCTGCTCCTCTCCCTCTTTGACCTGCTCCTCTCTCTCTCTGACCTGCTCCTCTCTCTCTTTGACCTGCTCCTCTCTCTCCTTGACCTGCTCCTCTCTCTTTGACCTGCTCCTCTCTCTCTTTGACCTGCTCCTCTCTCTCTTTGACCTGCTCCTCTCTCTCTTTGACCTGCTCCTCTCTCTCTCTCTGACCTGCTCCTCTCTCTCTTTGACCTGCTCCTCTCTCTCTTTGACCTGCTCCTCTCTCTCTCTGACCTGCTCCTCTCTCTCCTTGACCTGCTCCTCTCTCTCTTTGACCTGCTCCTCTCTCTCTTTGACCTGCTCCTCTCTCTCTTTGACCTGCTCCTCTCTCTCTTTGACCTGCTCCTCTCTCTCTCTGACCTGCTCCTCTCTCTCTTTGACCTGCTCCTCTCTCTCTCTCTGACCTGCTCCTCTCTCTCCTTGACCTGCTCCTCTGGTCATTTGGTTTAGAGTGCTGGGTTTTGTGTTGTAGCACTAGAGAAAAACTGTAACGTGGTTAGCACTCTCGCTTCTCAGCAAGAAGGTCCTGGGTTCGAATCCCGGTCGGAACAGGGCCTTTCTGAGTGGAGTTTGCATGTTCTCCCCGTGTCTGTGTAGGTTTCCTCCAGGTGCTCCGGTTTCCCCTACCACTAAAAACATGCACAATAGGTCTGAATGTAAATGAGAGAGTGAGTGATGGTGTTGGAGCTGATGGTCCAGTGTGTTCTGGACTCGCTTCTGTCATCACCGTGTGTGGAAGGATTGGAACAATATCTGATTCTGAACATTGGAAAGTGCTTTGGGTCTGTGCCTTTGGGTCTGTACCTTGGTCTGTAACATGTGCTATATAAATAAACATGACTTACTACTTACAGTGAAGTCAGGCCTCTGAATAACCGAAACATGGTTGGTCTGTAAGATATAATAATATAATATGAACAGAGGGAGAGAGTCAGAGAGAGACAGACAGAGAGGAACTTTCCCCACTCATTTCAGATGTTGCATTAAAGTGAAGCTCATCAAATTCTTTAATTTTTAATTTGGGGAAGTCTTAGTGACACAAAAAGACAGAGTAAGTCTTTCTTATGAATAGAAACTGTCGACTCATGTTTCTGACCTTGTCTTGTGTTTCAGTTCCTCCCAGAGACAGAGTGAAGTCCTGCTCATAAAGAAACTAAAAAGGCTCAAAAGAGGTTTGTTTGTAAGATGTGAACAAAGGAGAAAAGACAAAGAATCAAGTATGCAAGAAATATCTTTAATACACACAGTTTAGAGCATCACTGTTTAATACAATAAATATACAATGTACTGCAGTCAGCCGCAGTCAGCCGCAGTCAGCCGCAGTCAGCTGCAGTCAGCCGCAGTCAGGCGCAGTCAGGCGCAGTCAGCTACAGTCTGCTGCAGGCAGCTGCAGTCAGCTGCAGTCAGCCGCAGTCAGGCGCAGTCAGCTGCAGTCAGGCGCAGTCAGCTGCAGTCAGGCGCAGTCAGCTGCAGTCAGCAGCAGTCAGCTGCAGTCAGCTGCAGTCAGGCGCAGTCAGCTGCAGTCAGGCGCAGTCAGGCGCAGTCAGCTGCAGTCAGGCGCAGTCAGCTGCAGTCAGCTGCAGTCAGCTGCAGTCAGGCGCAGTCAGCTGCAGTCAGGCGCAGTCAGGCGCAGTCAGCTGCAGTCAGGCGCAGTCAGCTGCAGTCAGCTGCAGTCAGCTGCAGTCAGGCGCAGTCAGCTGCAGTCAGGCGCAGTCAGCTGCAGTCAGGCGCAGTCAGCTGCAGTCAGGCGCAGTCAGCTGCAGTCAGCTGCAGTCAGCTGCAGTCAGGCGCAGTCAGCTGCAGTCAGGCGCAGTCAGCGCCAAACTGACGAGAGATGGCGTCCTGAACGTCATGAGAGACAGAGCACGACTAAAGGCAATAACATAAATAAATGTTTAAAAAAGTACGTTGAAAAATGTGGGAAACAGAGATTCAGAAGCTCTGAAGGGTTAATATGAGCGACTGTAGAGATCTGCTCAGACCGCTGCCTCCGCCAAATGTCCAGAGAACAAGGTTTGGAGGAAAGAGGCCACGGCACAAGTGGTAAAACATATTTAGTCTGGTTAGAAGCACAGCTAATGTAAAAACACAAAACAAGCAATCACAAGTATAAAAAAACAGCTTAAAGCTTCAGATTCAAACTTGTGCTCCTGACATTAGCATTTCCAGTGGTCAGAAGGTCTCATGGCGTCATGTAGGCGGCAAGTCGGTGCAGACCTGACCCTGACCCTGACCCTGACCACACAGACCTGACCCTGACCTAACTCACCAACTTCCTGGGTTTAAATTTAACCTGGGCATATTCACATTCGGCCAGCTTCTCTGAGACGTCCAACACGCCTCTATTACCCACAATGCTCCTCTGCTCGTCCATGTAGGAGCTGCACGAGGTCTCAGTGTGCGCTGCAGCGTCTTGGACCTTCTTCTTACGTTTGTTTTCCCAGTTGACAGAGGAGTAAACAACATTGTCTTGGCCACTGGAGGTCTGGCCTTCTGCATGATCCTTGTCTGTGCTCTTTGACTGCTCTCCACTCGCCTCGATGGGACTGACCAACACGTCGGCCTGAGCCTCGGAAAACACCTGAAATAAGAAATATAATGTGAATAAACAATGAAGAGAATTGGAGGTAGGCTGCTGTATGTACAGCACTATATATATGAGTTAATAAGACTAAAATGTCCCCGCTGTGGGATGAATAAAGGATCTCTTAATCTTGATAAACGCTTGAATCCACTTGTTTATTTTATTAGTTTATTTGAGAGGGACATTGTGCATTAATAAACACTTCTGTAAATTCACCAAATTAGCCAAGCAGGCTTCATCTGCAGTCCCTGGACACAGTCTCCCTAAAGATAACAGTAAAAGTCACTCAATGATAAAATGCAGACAAAAATAGACAGTCCTCTCCTCCTTCCTCCTCTATGTATGACATTTATGACATGTATGACATTTATCACATGTGTGACATTTATCAACATGTGTGACATTTATCACATGTGTGACATTTATCACATGTGTGACATTTATCACATGTGTGACATTTATCAACATGTGTGACATTTATCACATGTGTGACATTTATCACATGTGTGACATTTATCACATGTGTGACATTTATCACATGTGTGACATTTATCAACATGTGTGACATTTATCACATGTGTGACATTTATCACATGTGTGACATTTATCAACATGTGTGACATTTATCACATGTGTGACTTTTATCAACACGTGTGACATTTATCACATGTGTGACATTTATCACATGTGTGACATTTATCAACATGTGTGACATTTATATGTATGCATCTCCTTTGCTGCTTACGGAGCCTGTGGGGAGTGGCGCCACAATCTTTGCATCTATTCCATTTGCTAAACATTCCTCTTGCTCCGGCTTCAGTTTCTTGATAGAACCAGACCAGAATACTTTACTATCACATTCGTCACCAAACTACAACCTTCCCGTTCGATGCAAACTCTTGACGTCTCCCACATCTAACTACAACACCCGCCTCCCGCGCTCTCTGATTGGTCGGATTGAATTCAACAGATTGTAATCACAAACACACTGAGGCCCTGTCCGGACAAAGACCAGATGGAGTTTTGATATTGTCCTACGTCGAGATAGAACTATCTGTTTGAGGCTTCGTTCACACAGACTGGTTTCCTTGTATCTGTCAGTGTGCCCCAGGGCAGCTGTGGCTACAGCAGCAGATTATTTCCTTGTGTTTGGAGAGAATGAATAAGGATGTGAAGCGATCTTTAAAACCATTGCATTATTATTCCCACCTCATTCTCTTCGTTGGACGGAAGAATCTGGTCCAAGGCCACATCAGTCGACAAATGTTTGGAAAGACGGAGATGTTGAGTTCTAAAAACAATGTAATTATTAGATTTCAACAAAATGTTTCAGCTTCACAAACATCTGCAGTGTTTTCACTTTGAGCCAAGAGGAAGAAACCTTAGATATTGTATCTTTATTTAGTACTGAAGGTTTTACAGCCAGCTAAGATAGGATAGGATAGGATAGGATTGGATAGGATAGGATAGGATAGGATTGGATAGTATTGGATTGGATTGGATAGGATAGGATAGGGTGGATAGGATTGGATTGGATTGGATAGGATTGGATAGGATTGGATAGGATTGGATTGGATTGGATTGGATTGGATTGGATTGGATAGGATTGGATAGGATTGGATAGGATTGGATAGGATTGGATAGGATAGGATTGGATTGGATTGGATTGGATTGGATAGGATAGGATTGGATTGGATTGGATAGGATTGGATTGGATTGGTTTGGATTGGATAGGATTGGATAGGATTGGATTGGATTGGATTCGATAGGATTGGATAGGATTGGATGGGATTGGATTGGATAGGATTGGATTGGATTGGATTGGATAGGATTGGATTGGATTGGATAGGATTGGATTGGATTGGATAGGATTGGATAGGATTGGATAGGATTGGATTGGATTGGATTGGATTGGATTGGATTGGATTGGATTGGGATAGGATAGGATTGGATTGGATTGGATAGGATTGGATTGGATTGGATTGGATAGGATAGGATTGGATAGGATTGGATTGGATTGGATTGGATTGGATAGGATAGGATAGGCTAGGATTGGATAGGATTGGATTGGATTGGATTGGATTGGATAGGATAGGATAGGATAGGATAAGATTGGATAGGATTGGATTGGATAGGATTGGATTGGATTGGATTGGATTGGATTGGATTGGATTGGATTGGATTGGATTGGATTGGATTGGATTGGATAGGATTGGATTGGATTGGATTGGATTGGATAGGATAGGATTGGATAAGATTGGTTAGGATTGGATTGGATAGGATTGGATTGGATTGGATTGGATTGGATAGGATAGGATAGGATAGGATTGGATAGGATTGGATAGGATTGGATTGGATTGGATAGGATTAGATTGGATTGGATTGGATTGGATTGGATTGGATTGGATTGGATAGGATTGGATTGGATTGGATTGGATTGGATTGGATAGGATTGGATTGGATTGGATTGGATAGGATAGGATAGGATAGGATAGGATAGGATAGGATAGGATTGGATAGGATTGGATTGGATTGGATTCGATAGGATTGGATAGGATTGGATGGGATTGGATTGGATAGGATTGGATTGGATTGGATTGGATTGGATAGGATTGGATTGGATTGGATAGGATTGGATTGGATTGGATTGGATAGGATAGGATAGGATTGGATTGGATTGGATTGGATTGGATAGGATAGGATTGGATAAGATTGGTTAGGATTGGATTGGATAGGATTGGATTGGATTGGATTGGATTGGATTGGATAGGATAGGATAGGATAGGATTGGATAGGATTGGATAGGATTGGATTGGATTGGATAGGATTAGATTGGATTGGATTGGATTGGATTGGATTGGATTGGATAGGATTGGATTGGATTGGATTGGATTGGATTGGATAGGATTGGATTGGATTGGATTGGATTGGATAGGATAGGATAGGATAGGATAGGATAGGTAGGATAGGATGGATAGGATGATAGGATAGGATAGGATAGGATAGGATTGGATGGATGGATATTGGATAGGATAGGATTGGATAAGATTGGTTAGGATGGATGGATGATGGATAGGATTGGATTTGGTTGGATTTGGATTGGATTGGATTGGATTGGATTGGATGGATAGGATAGGTTTGGATAGGATTGGATTGGATTGGATAGGATAGGATTGGATTGGATAGGATTGGATTGGATTGGATAGGATTGGATTGGATTGGATTGGATTGGATAGGATAGGATAGGATAGGATAGGATAGGATAGGATAGGATAGGATAGGATAGGATAGGATAGGATAGGATAGGATAGGATTGGATTGGATAGGATAGGATTGGATAAGATTGGTTAGGATTGGATTGGATAGGATTGGATAGGATTGGATTGGATTGGATTGGATTGGATAGGATAGGATTGGATTGGATAGGATAGGTTTGGATAGGATTGGATTGGATTGGATAGGATAGGATTGGATTGGATAGGATAGGATTGGATAGGATTGGATAGGATTGGATTGGATTGGATTGGATAGGATAGGATTGGATTGGATTGGATTGGATAGGATTGGATTGGATTGGATTGGATTGGATTGGATAGGATAGGATTGGATTGGATAGGATTGGATTGGATTGGATAGGATTGGATTGGATTGGATTGGATAGGATAGGATAAGATTGGATAGGATTGGATTGGATAGGATTGGATTGGATTGAATTGGATAGGATAGGATGAGATAGGATAGGCTTGGATAGGATAGGATAGGATTGGATTGGAGAGGATAGGATAGGATAGGATTGGATAGGATTGGATTGAATAGGATTGGATTGGATTGGATAGGATTGGATAGAATTGGATTGGATAGGATAGGGTAGGATTGGATTGGATAGGATTGGATTGGATTGGATTGGATAGGATTGGATAGGATTGGATTGGATTGGATTGGATAGGATAGGATTGGATTGGATAGGATTGGATTGGATTGGATAGGATAGGATTGGATTGGATTGGATAGGAATGGATAGGATTGGATTGGATTGGATAGGATAGGATTGGATTGGATTGGATAGGATTGGATTGGATTGGATAGGATAGGATTGGATTGGATAGGATTGGATTGGATTGGATAGGATTGGATTGGATAGGATTGGATAGGATTGGATGGGATTGGATTGGATAGGATTGGATTGGATTCGATAGGATTGGATAGGATTGGATGGGATTGGATTGGATAGGATTGGATTGGATTGGATTGGATAGGATTGGATTGGATTGGATAGGATTGGATAGGATTGGATGGGATTGGATTGGATTGGATAGGATAGGATTGGACCCTCCTGTGGGCCCACCACCCGCAGAGGGGTCCGTGGTGGCGAGGTGCAGAGAGGACTGGGCAGCAGTCGAAGGCGGAGACCTCGGCGACCCAGTCCACACACCCAACATCTGGCTCTTGGGACGTGGAACGTCACCTCACTGGGGGGGAAGGAGCCCGAGCTCGTGGGGGAGGTTGAGCGATACCGACTAGAGATAGTCGGCCTCACCTCCACACACAGCTTGGGCTCTGGAACCCAACTCCTTGAGAGGGGTTGGACGCTCCACTTTTCTGGTGTTTCCCGCGGGGAGAGGCGGCGAGCTGGGGTGGCCATACTCATTGCCCCCCACCTCAGCCGCCACGTGTTGGAGTTCTCCCCGGTGAATGAGAGGGTCGCGTCCCTCCGCCTCCGGGTGGGGGACAAGTCTCTCATTGTTGTGACGGCCTACGGGCCTAACGGTAGTGCAGAGTACCCGGCCTTCTTGGAGTCCTTGGGAGGGGTACTGGACAGTGCACCGCCCGGGGACTCCGTTATTCTCCTGGGGGACTTCAACGCCCATGTGGGAAATGCCAGTGACACTTGGAGAGGGGTGATCGGGAAGAACGGCCCTGATCTGAACCCGAGCGGTGCTCAGTTGTTGGACTTCTGTGCCCGTCACAGTTTGTCCATCACGAACACCATGTTCGAGCACAAGGGTGTCCATCAGTGCACGTGGCACCAGGACACCCTAGGCCGGAGGTTGATGATCGACTTTGTAGTCGTATCATCTGACCTTCGACCGCGTGTCTCGGACACTCGGGTGAAGAGAGGGGCGGAGCTGTCAACCGATCACCACCTGGTCGTGAGTTGGATCCGCTGGCAGGGCAGGAGGCTGGTCAGACCTGGCAGGCCCAAGCGTGTAGTGAGGGTTTGCTGGGAACGTCTTGCTGAGCCCCCTGTCAGACGGACTTTCAACTCACACCTCCGGGAGAGCTTCTCCCAGGTCCCGGCAGAGGAGGGGGATATTGAGTCTGAGTGGACCATGTTCTCTGCCTCTATCGCCAATGCGGCGGCTCGTAGCTGTGGTCGCAAGGTCTCTGGTGCTGGTCCCAGCGGCAATCCCCGAACCCGGTGGTGGACACCGGCAGTAAGGGATGCCGTCAGGCTGAAGAAGGAGTCCTACCGAGCAATGATGGTTCGTGGGACTCCTGAGGCAGCTGTCCAGTACCGGCAGGCCAAACGTGCCGCGGCCCGGGCTGTTGCAGAGGCAAAAACCCGGGACTTCACTTCACTTCACTTCACTTTATTTCATGTCCCCGATGGGGCAATTTGGTTCACAGCACAGGGACACATACAAAGAAAAAGACATAGAATAAACATTTTCCCCATACATTCAGACTAACAAGGTGTCCATATACAGTCTTCCCGTCAGGTCGATGGCAGTTTGAAAACAGGATAAAAAAGAAGACAAAAACTGTCCCCCTCAAGCAAAAATTTCAACCCCTATTTCCTCCGTCTCTGGTTTGAGTTTAGTGTAGAGATCGCTGCAGGTACGAAAGAGTATTTATATCTATTGCTCCGAATCATTGGAGTTCTGAGTCTGGAACCAGACGGCAGGTAACTAAACTCTTCATGAAGAGGGTGAGCCTCATTACCCAGAATCCTCAGAGCCCTCCTTGTCACCTGACCAGTGAACAGCTCAGAAAGTGGAGTCTGAGGAGCTCTCAAAATCTTACCACTCAAGTTAACTATTCTGCTGAGTGACTTTTTCCCTTTGACATTGAGGTTACCAAACCAACTCAACATGGAAAAAGTTAAAACTGACTCAACACAAGATTTGTAAAACAGTCCTCATTATCGTCCCGTCCACCTGGAAATAGGCCAGTTTCCGGAGGCAGAACAGAAGCTGCTGCCCTTTCTTACACAGAACATCTGTGTTTTCATTGAAGTTCAGCCTGTTGTCGATCCATGTCCCCAGATACTTGTAACTTTGGACGAGCTCC